ACGGTGGCAGAAGGTTTCTCGATATGAAGTGCCCCACCAACGCCGAGGTCAACATCCAAGCCATTGCCACCCGCCCGAGGATGCAAGGAGGGGAATTAAGTCACCCCCGAAAAGACAGCCTAGCTGTTTCTTTGGGGGGGGGGGTCAAAAAAAAATAAGGCCCAGCCTTATTTTGTGAGAAACACGGTAGTATGCTCCTTATATTCAATTCATTCGTTGAAGTCTTAAAATACCCTGATGTGAGATAATACAACCCAAGGTTTCTATCATAGCTGTGCCTATGCTGATGCTGCATTTAAATGTTACCTGAAGCCACCAAAGGCAGAGCCATCAGAATCTGGAAGCTAATTAGGGACAATTTTCATCCTGTTTTCAAACTGGGTACTTTTAAGGGTAGAAATAAAAGCACAAGGATTTTATTCATATTCCTAATTTCTCCCAAATTAAGCAAAACAGGTCAACATGTAATTATTGCCCTTGTATCACTAATAAAATTTGTGCAGCTAAGAAGTTAAAGTGTAGCTCAGAACAGATGAACTGACATGTCCACAGATTGTGAAATACAGTATTAATATGTTTACTGACAAACTACATGTAGAATTAAATATGTCAGTATTGGAAGCCCACTATTTGTGAAATAAGTAATTCTGAGGTTCTCTCAAATATGAATCTAGTAATCTCTTGAGGTCGAGAAAGAAATAAAACATGTCCACCTCCAACATTAAAAAAGTGACAACCTAGTGAAACTTAAAACCAATTGTTTAAATTCCAAAATAGTGTCAGGATTGGATTGGATTCACTGCCATCTTCCTTTCATTAAAAGAAATTTATTAACTTTTTTCAGCTGAAGATACAGAACTATAACTAGATTGGAGAAGTCATTGTAATGAATGGATGAACTTAGTGGGATGAAACTCAGTCTGTAGTCAATAAAAAAGAAAAGGTTACACACACCAACCAAATTCAGCACAGGCAATGCAGTATGGATGCAAGCTAGTCATAATCACTGATGATTATATATTAAGCATCCTTATGGCTTGAAATGGGAGACTATGACTGCTAATCCCACTTTAGGTATGAAACCAGCTGGGTGACCTTGAGCCAGTCACTTACTATTCACTCTTTTCCCTAGGAAGACAATTGCAAGCCACTTCTGCATACATTGCCAAGCAAACTGCAGATTTGTCCACAGTCATCAGAATTAAACAATGACTCAAATCAATGGCATGCACACAAATATCGTAACTTTTTTCTCTGAGAACTCAAGGTAGCATTTATGAATGGGGTCTTTCCCAAAACTGCTATGATCCAATAAGATAAGAGGGGCTGAAAGCATGATCGGCCAAAATTTATCAAGAGAACTTTATAACTGAATGGGATTTGAATGTAACTAGCTCAAGCACAACACCTTACCTTTCTGCTCCACTAATTGTTTTAATTATATATAGCAGTACAGATGAGGTTGGAAAAATTAGGGTGGAGTGTTGGTCAAAATGGGTGACTAGAATTGCCAAGATCCAAGTTTAACTTAACCAGGGAGGTACTGACTGACTTGCAGCCTGCCTTCTTCCTCCTCAACCCCTATGCCCAGCCTTGACCTACTAGCTAAAGTCATCATCCAGCAGGACGATCTGTACTGTACAATGTAAGCATTCCTGTCCATGTTTCAAGTCCTATTGGGGAAATAATACAGCATGGTTCTCCCTTTGCTCTTTACTTACTTGATCCAGGTCTGGTGAGTACCACCATGACAATGGTGAATCCAAGAGAAACCAGGTGTGCGGCTGCACCAAAGACAGTCCTGAGAGAGTGGTAAATCTGAGATTCCGTTTCAACTGCCAGAGCCATGTCTTCTGGATTATGAATAAGACGTTCCACTGTCCACGAATTATTGATCTTCTAAGTTTACATGCAAAACCTATCAAGTGTCCCAGAACATCAAAGTGAGGGAAAATTCAAGCACTACTGTTTTAAACAAAAAAATTCTGCTTCAGGTTTCTCATGCTTCTGTCAATGATCCTGTGTGATAAACGTAAAGAGATATTAAGAAAAGAAGGAGCAAAATAAAAACACCTGGAAAGCCCAGGAATAGTCTTTAGTCCTCAACTATAATCAAAGAAAATTCTAGGCTGTCAGAGCAGAGTCTTATTTCCAACAAGGATTTGCCATCAAAACCTGGGATTCTGCCAGAAAGGAAACTAAATTTTAGATATTGTAGGTTCTTAATGTAATGTCATATCATAAAATGTTATAATTCCAATTATTTAATCTCATTTCTCCCTCTTTTTCCTGTTCTCATTTTATGTGCATAAAGCATAGGCTGACTTTTGAGGGTTGGACAGAATTTTTTGTTGTGGTGGGGGAAAAGGTCTTCTAAACCTTTAATATAAGGTGGGCTTCAGATTAAAAGAGGCTTTTGTTCCCTCCAGGAATCAAACTGACTAAACACAAAGCACTCAAACTAAAGCTACATGCCTGAAGGAAACCTAACTACACATGAATGCTGATTTAGCTCCATTGTTTAGGTTCAGGAGGAGATGGTATATTGCAATATGCAAGAATAGCAAGCTGCTGCAATCATTTTCAACTGACATTCAGAAGTATGGGAAGCTCCCCTGACAGGATTGGTAATAAATCACAAGACAATGCAAACAAGCGAAAGAAAGGAACCACACAGCCATGGTTGATTTATGAACCCCAATAGGCTTCCTTGTGATTAATTTAACCATAGTTTAATTTTAAAAAATCCGATGTCAACAAATCACAGTTAGCTAAAATATGGATGGGAACTTTATGGTTCAGCAAGGGTCATGTAAACATAGCCATTAAACACTTTTGTTGCATGTGTGGGAAGCAAAATATCCACATCTTCAAACTGAACCGAGCAGTCATGCAGGCCTGCAGATCTTCCTTTCTGGGGATTTTCAAAACAAATGTTGTGCAGCACCCTTTTCTATGAATCATGAACTAGAAAAATTCATCCTATACTTCTAGTATAATAATGCACATTTCACTGCCAGTACACTATCAGAGCTTTTCCTATAGAAGTCTAAAAAATTAAAACATCACTGTTTTGTTTCACTAGGAAATTATGATTTCTTGAAGAACAGCCTGAAGAATTACATTCAACCTTTACCACCAAATGTCTGTGGAAATGCATCTCAATTATATGCTATGAATATGCATCGTTAAAGAACACAGCAGGGCTCATGTTCACATTTATAATGCTGCCCATCTTCACTCCTCTGAGCAGCATAGAAGTAGATGGCAAACATTTGAAACTCTGAAAAATAACATTTCAAGACAAAACTCTTGAAAAATTGTTGACACAAGCACTAACAGAAAACACCAGTGGATTATTTTTTAATTTGTACGCACTATATACAGCTTGCAATCTGTTCATCCAATTTTTATTGGTCAAGATTATATAAACATAGAAATATTTTTCCTCTGTTCATTTTTACTGTTAAGTGATGGTAATTTGCCCAAGGCTATCACCCTGAGATCTATTCTGACATTTCAGAATCCATTGTTTAAATTATTTGCCCCTGAAGGAATAGGCAAGCAACTTAAATATATAATCAAAAGTGCATGAGTTTCTTACAAATTTTCATAGTGGAAACTCATTGCTGAAAATTACAGTTCTATATATCCTGTAACAGTTAAGGCTATTTTGGAAACATAAATTTATAATATGCAAATTCAATTTGCCACAAATTTGCTTTACCTATGGGGATGTTGTAATAAATGAAACCATCCTGAGTGGAGAATTAAACTCCAAGCTTTGTAAGAAGGTGCATCTATAGAGATACAACCTTAATTAAATAAAACCATGGGATCAAAAAGAAATGAGACTGGAACCAAGAAATTTGGCTGACCTTAAGGCAGGTTGACCCTACCAGTAGGCTTTCATATTATACCTTGTTCAGGTATGCCTAAACAAATAAAACATATAGTATAATGCGCTAGCTTATTGGCTGAGTTCCTATAAGATGCTGAACCACAAATAACACAGCCCTCTTTTAGCCTAGGCTGTTCTCTGTAATACAGTATTAAGGCAAAGAGAAAGACGCCATAGACTTCCTTTCCTTTATTTCAGTGGCAAGGCAAAGCTCCCCCTTGAGCATTTTGAAAAAGAAGCCGAGGGTAGCCTGCATTTCGATTCTTCACCCCGTATCTTAGGGGCACAATCGAAAGTGGAAGTGGCAGCTAAAAGGAAGAAAGAAAACACGAGAAGCTAAAACACACACCTCTCAGGACTCCGTCCAAAACGATGAGGCAGTTTCGTGAATCATTTCCGCCTCACCTGGTTTGACAGCACCAGGACACGCATCCTTCTCGGATAAAGCAGCCGTTCCTTACAGCCGTGCCCACCCTACACCTTGCATTGCAACTGGCATAGGCGGTAAGGTCTGTAGTACAAGAGGTGTGGAGCGATGCCTCCACCAATCAAGGACTACACCTAGGTTTTTCTTTTTGTCAGAATGAGCGTTGAGCTCCAGGGCTGCTGTTCCACAAAAAGCATCCCAAGCCCTGGAAACCCCAGGCAGAGCAGAGCCCATCCCCTTCGGCAGATCTGCCCTAATCCGCCCACAAGGCTTTGAGAAAAGCACCCCTCTCCCAGCTCCAATCCAACCGCCTTGGGGGGGGGGGGATTCTCACCTCCGCCGAGAACAGCAGCATCGCAAAAGGAGCATCAACTCCGGTGGAAGCCAAGGAAGTACCCCATGCCTTTTGATTGGGCGAGTCCACCCAGCTTGTCATACGTTCCTCCTACCCTGGCGGGCCGCTCTCTGCGCCTGAGAGGCTGAGCCGCGCTGCCCATCATCGGGGGGCGGGGGGGGGAAAATCCTCTGGAAGGCAGCTCACTGCGCGACACGCGACGGGCATTGCACGTTCGTAACTCCCATTCCGGGACTTCGCTTTGGTGCAGTACGGTTACCGGCGGGCGAGGTCGGGGGAGCACGTTTGCGAGCGGAAATCTGCAGGAAGGTTGTCTTTTTCTCCAAGGGCCACCAAGACGCAAGCGCTGTGAGATCGCTTCCCCCGCCCACCAAGCTCTTTCGCTCGCCCAGTTGGAGTTAGCCGTGCACATGCGTGCTTTGGCCGTTGCTCTTCCGGTAGGTGCAGAGCCTGTGGGTTGGTCTTGGCTACCTGAGAGAGAGGAGAGAGAGAGAGTGAAGGCTCCCGATTCTTCTCTCCATAGGCACACTATTCTGGCGAGGATTTTAGGAGTTTACGCAACGCCCAAGTCTAGGTAACTTTCTACCTAGTTCAGGGGACTGGGCATTAAATAGGCCATTCTTGAGCAATAATACCCTGTAACGTCATAGGCAGTTTGATTATTGATTAAAAGCAAGAATAGCGTTTGATCTGTAAGTTTCTTCCACCAAGTCATTTTCGCCAGCTCTTAAAAAAAACCAAAAACGCTCTCTACCAGAATTGTGGGAATTTGTTATATTTAAAGAAATGCGGACTGGCTTGTAATTAATGAACTAAAAGCAGTGATTTTTCAAATTTGTCAATTTAAGATGCACGGGATTCAGCTCCCGAAATTTGGGAGAGTTGCAGTCCACACATTTTAAAGTTGCCAAGTCTGAAAAACATTGAATATATTGATGGACTATGGTAGGTAGATTAATCTCCAAGCACCATAGTTTACACATTTGTGCATGCATAAATGGGAAGATATAGGGCACCTGTTTTCAGCCAACTTAGAAGATTGCTAAGAAGAATGGCCAGTATAAAGCCATTCTCAGAGTGGGTAGATATATACCAACTGCTATTATGGGATATTGTCCTGCCCTCTTGGAAAATATGGACCTTTGGAAATAGAAGGGCTATTTGTAGGTATTCTATAGTATAGCATTTCTATGTTGTCAATGGGAGAGTGAGGATGCTAGGGGCTGTCTTCTATGTTGTTAAAATGACAGTTTTGAATTGCATTTCACAAAATGCACTGATTACTCCCTCTGGCTCTTTTTGACTACTGGTGATTCAGATCTTGACAGTTTGATCTGTGAGTCATTTAATCTTCAATGAACAAGAATAATTCAGCAGAGTTCTGGTTTGTACAAGATTGTATATAAATCACAGATGACTCACATCCTGATTTCTTAGTTACATGCACTGGTAAGTGAATTCACTCAGTGTGATAGTTGTGCTTGTCTTCCAGTGATAAGATAAAATTATGCAGAATGTAAGCTTAGTACTTAGGTTACATACATATTCAGGGCAGGAGATAAGATTACAGAAATATGAGTTAACCTATTAAGTGACAGCTCTACTTTTGTGGAATTTGTTCCATATAAAAATAGGGCAAGTTCTTCCAACTGCTACCTGGCCTGCTCAAGCCAGTTGAGTTCCCTGCGGCATCACAGATGCTGGCTGTGACCATGGGTCTGCTCCATTCTTCTTTTTGTGGTAATTGAGACTGGGATTTCTGTCACTAAGTGAAATATGTGACAGCATTGCTCAGCAAATGACAATCCTGGCATTCTCTGCTGCCCCCTTTAAGCAAGCATTGCAGGTCACTAAGCGAATCCCTATCTGGTTTGAAGTTGGCTTCCAAGGAATACATGTTGCTATTGCACTGCCCTCCATATTATACAGCATCTCTCCTGGCTGAGCTGCTGGATTTCATTACTAAGCCAGTGAGTGAGACCCTGAGGCTACTAGTTCTTGAGACATCAGTTTATCAGCTGGTGATGTTTTTTTTTCCTGTGTCTAGATCAAACTTTAGACTGCCAGAATGCAGTCACCTTGGTTTTGTTGTTGGACAAAAATAAGTCATTATCAATATATGTTTCCGAGAGTAGCTAACATACTAGCAGATGGGGTAGGCTGTGCATTTCTCTGCATTCACACAGCATGTTTTTATCTGCTAAAAGCCTCTACTTAAGCATCTTGATCTCACACCTAGACACTCCAGCCCTCCACCTATGCAGGGTTTTCCAAATAGTATAACGGAAATACGGTTTTGTTCTTGTGTACCCTGAAGAATGTTTGTTCTTACCATAAAGCTTTTCCTAGATGTGAGTCAGCAGGCTTGGGGTATATGTCCATTCAGAGAAAGTTGAGCTGGTGATATTGAGTCTGAGGCAACTCAGGAGCTTATGGCCACCCTGATAACCGCAGACCTGTCCTAAGTCATCATGAACATCGTGCATAACAGTTCACACTAGATCTAGATTTTCTCTTGGGGCAGATATAATCTGGTTCTAGAGGGCGTTATTAGTCCATTGCTGCGGTCAGATTACTTTCTGAGTGTTTTTTTTTTTTTTTGGCTCACCGGTGCCCACCTACCTGTAGAACCTGTTAGATCAGCCTGCCTCAGATGACTATTGGACCTGTGCAATTAAACACTGTTGTCTTCTAGGATTCAGAATGTAGGCAAACTCTGTTGCAATGCCTGTGCTTTTTGGAACAATATCTCCCTAGAGATTCATGCAACTCCCACATTTATGATGTTTAGCAAATTTCAGGCCTTGGGTAGAGTGATTCTTTCAGGCCTTGGGTAGAATGGTTTTGGAGTTTTCTTTAGTTAAGTTTGGTTATAGCTAAGTGTTTTGTCTTTCCAGTTGGCTATGATTTCTTTTTTCTTTAATTGTAAGCCACACAGAGTCATCAGAGAGTCAGATAGCCTTGAAATTGGATTAAAACAAGAGTGATACTTCAAAAAAAATTTCCCACACGTAGCTATAGATTCATTTCTGCATATTTCATCTTTTTCAGTTACAGCCATGGAAATCAGCAGCAAAATTGAGTGTATATTTTTCAGTGAATTCCACCCAACACTGGGGCCTAAAATAACGTATCAGGTCAGTTGTGCAAAAGCTACCTGTCTCATTTGTTATTTTCTGCTCTCAGTTGTCCAAGATTTTAGATCTACTCTTTACTATTCTTGACTGGAGTTGAAGCCAAGACCTAGGAAAACATAGTGCTGCCATTCATGGGGGGGCCCCTTTTGTCGGGATGCCTTTCATTAAGTGTATCAAAGCTTCTAATTTTGCATCTGCTTGTCTGTTTTTAATTTCTGATTGCATATTTTGTTTTTGCAGTGGTGGTTAAAATGCTTTTTCACCTTTGTTTGAAAAACACGACGCCATAGCTTAAAAATAGTGTAGCCCTAAAAGTTAAGGTCATTATTTATTGATTTGTTTGTCTATTAATTATTTACAGCTCTGTCTTGTTCCTGCAGGTACCAGAGGATTTTATTTCCCGAGAGTTGTTTGATACAGTGCAAGTATATATCATCACCAAACCCGAACTCCAAAATAAGCTTATCACAGTGTGAGTATTATGCAGGAGCACCGTAAGACAAGGCTTACTTGTTGAAGAAATACAATTGCTCAGTATGTTGGGTACTGGAAAGTTAATTGTTTTCTCTCTTTTCTCTCCCCTGCTCCACAAAAATCCAGTACAGCTATGGAAAAAAAGCTCATTGGTTGCCCAGTTTGCATTGAACATAAGAAATACACCCGGAATGCCTTGCACTTCAACCTTGGCTTCGTTTGTGATGCTAGAGCTAAGACCTGTGCACTGGAACCGATTGTGAAGAAATTGGCAGGTTACCTTACTACTTTGGAGGTTAGAAATAGCCTAAAAATGGACCCTTCATTTCTGCTGTCATATGTGTATAGATTTTTAATTATATTATATTATACTTTATTTCCACTCATCCCATAAATACAACTCTGGGCAGCTAACAACACATTAAAAACATCAAAAAAGCAATATTAATCTGGGTAAAAAAACAACAGTGAATGCCAGTGATAAATCCAGACAAAAGTATCATCAAAATCCTCTCAGTGCAGCTTCTATTCTCCCAACTTCCAGACTCTGTAGCATATTCCAGGTCTTCAGTGCTTTTATAAAATGCCAGCAAGGTTAGGGCAGTCTAACCTTTGGGATATGGTCTTCCAAGCACACAGTAAGCAGTGTGACAAAAAGGCAACATGGAAGCACCCTGTCTTCACTCTTCATTTTCTCTAATGCTTAAGTAAACGTAAAGGTTCCCCCACATATACATACTAGTTGTTTCCGGCTCTAGGGCAGTGCTCGTCTCTGTTTCTAAGCTGAAGAGCCAGCACTATCCAAAGATGTCTCCATGGTCATGTGGCTGGCATGAGTAAACACCGAAGGTGCACGAAGCGCTGTTACTTTCCCACCAAAGTAGTCCCTATTTTTTATGTGCTTTCAAACTGCTAGGTTGGCAAAGCTGGGACAAGTAATGGGAGCTTGCTCCATTACACAGCGCTAGGGATTCAAACCGCTGAACTGCCAATCTTCTGATCGACAAACTCAGTGTCTTAGCCACTGAGCCACCATGTCCCTTCTCTTATGCCTAGTCAGTGGCAAACCTGATACATTGTTTAGGACTTCTAAGTCCTTGAGTGACACCTGATGAATGTTCCAAAGGTGCTTTTTCAGGAGGCAACTGGACTTTGTTTTTTCTTTTGAAGACGTTTCGCTTCTCATCCAAGAAGCTTCTTCAGCTCTGACAGAATAGTGGAAAATAGAAAGTCTTATATTCCTTGCAGACAGCTGGTAATTTGCATCTTTTTAGAGGGCTGTTGAAGCACTTGGAGGTTTATATGTGTACTCAGAGTCACCTGGTTCCTGTAGTCTGCAATTTGCTTTTTCTGGAAATCCATTCCTGCTCTCACGCCATTCAAAGGGTGTTCATCCCAAATTGTATAGCTCAAGGTCTGTAGAGATTCTCAGTCATCCAGGTAATGGTTGTCCCAAACCATGCTTTTTCAGGAGACAACTGAACTTTCTTGTTTTTCTTTCAAAGACATTTAGCTTCTCATCCAAGAAGTTTCTTCAGCTCTGACAGAATAATGGAGAATGGAAAGATTTATATTCCTTGCAGACAGCTGGTCGTTTGCATTCTTTTAGAGGGTCCTTTTAGACACCTGATGAACTTGTATGATGAATATGGACTGTCATAGCTACCGGTTAGCTGATCACAACAGGCATTTCACTTTCAGTCCTTTGCTGATGCATTCTGGAAGCTTTTGCAGTCTTATTAAAATTTGTAGAGTATAACTGCATATGTTTTTTTTATACCTGCTGTTCTATTTCCTGCAGCAAAGTAGTACTATTCCAAAGTAGTACTATTCCAGAAGTATTCTTCAAACACTCATGCTGCTTTCCTGGGGTACTTTGTATGCTGTAAAAGTTAAACACTATTTCAAACAAAAATAGTGATTTGTAGATGAATAGTCTTGAAATAAGTTAAAATTTCAAGACTATTCATCTACAAATCACTATTTCTTATGCCTACCCTTTCATCAATCTCTGACTGTAATAATGATACGCATGATGCCCTAAGAGCTTAATTCTATTTTTGAGTTTCTATTTTCTTATTGGTACAAAAAATATGCTCAGGTTTATTTGAATGAAATCGTATTTTCTTTTAGTGGGGCACACGGTCCATCATGTTACTGCTACATGCTACAATCAATAGTTTGATTGTAATTGATCATCAATTGTGCTCTTTCCTAGCTTGAAAGTGGCTTCATTTCCAATGATGAGAGCAAGCAAAAATTGATACCCATCATGACCATTCTACTTGAAGAACTGAATGCTACTGGCAAATGCACTCTGCCTATTGGTATTTTCACCAAGCATATTGTTACAAAATATATTTTGGAACAGAGCATATTAAAATTCAGGCTTGTGATTCTTGGGCAGATAAGACCATGCAGCACATTTAGAAAGAAGGACACTTACTATTTAGTGCTGCCTTCTCCACATCTATATATCTCAATATGAACAGGTAAAGTAGATAAGAATATGATTTTGCTCAATTGCAGGAAGAATTTTATCTGAATGTTCTTAAGCATACAGTATACTGTAGTTTCTATTGTTGGGTGGTAAGGGAAGCATTATTTCCCAAAGCAGTATTCTCTACCTCACAGTTCTCAGACACAACCATTGTTTAGATCAAGGATCCACAAAGTGTTAGATGTTGGTTCTTTGAAGGAAGGTCTTACTATTCTTTACAAATATACTCTGGTTCTTACAAATTGACATGATTAAGGAAAAGACACTAATTGCCCTTGGGGTTTTGCATAATTTGAATATTCTCTCTAGTGCTAAGGGCAACATGCTGTAAGACAATAAAGTGGATAGGCTATACTGTAACACTATCCTATTGGTTTGGAGTGTCATTCACTTGGGTTATCCGATTACCCACTGGTTTGAAAATTCTGTACATTCAACATTAAAACTTAATCGTGGTTGCAATGTGAACACTCCCTTTGCATGCCCAGTCCAATTGTGCTCTATAAAATAGTGTCTGTTATTGTTGTCTGATGTGTTTCAATTCCAGCAAGCCTGTTGTGATAGTATAATCTTGCATTGAGATAAGCATTGCCCCTTTTTATAGATGAATCCAACACAATTCACCTGAAAGTGATTGAGCAACGTCCAGATCCCCCCATTGTACAAGAATATGACGTCCCTGTCTTCACCCAAGATAAAGATGACTTTTTAAATTCTCAGTGGGACCTCACTACTCAACAGGTTAGTGCAAAAAATTAACCTGAAATAATCCCACCAATGGATTTCACAATAACATCAACATTGGAGGGAGAACTTGCCTTCAATTCCCTCCCCCCCCCCCCACGCACACACATGAATTAAACTCCTAAGGGATTAAGAATTGAAAACAATTTCTCTCCAAGCAGATTGAATGTGTACAAATTTATTCAGCCTGTCCTCATTGTATTGAAAGGGGTTCTATCAAAATGTTTCCTTGCTTTAAGATTCAGACTGCAACTCTGTGTTCTTAATTCCTCCGTATTTATTTAATTGCATATTTAATGAGAATATTATCCATCAGAATGGAGCTTTTTAAGAAAGGTATCAGGATACCATGAACTTTATAAATGGCAAAAAAAAGTTGCAAATCATGGTCACATGTCCACAGGATGCTACAGCTGGTCTTAAAAGCAAACCAATTTCCAAGCAGCTGAAATGGGATCATGTGATTGCATTGGGATGCAGGAAGGTAACTTCAAGGATGGGTTGTAAGTATATTTTTTGAGATCCATCATAATTGGTTATCAAGTGACCATATGCTAAGCAAAGACTACCTGTATTTTAGATATCAATGGCAGGTTAATTGAAACTGAAATTTACTTAACCTATGCAATTATTTGTGTGCACGTGAAGAGAGTTAAACTTGAGTGAAGCATATGGATGTAGATATGAATATGCACACATTCTTTCCCTAAAACTAGGTATCTGCTAAGATCTTTGTGTCAGCTTTGGAAGCCATATTGAGATTCGATGCTCCCATGCTGCCACAATTGAGCCTAAGAAAGTGGGAGGGAGGAATTCATTTGAGTATATCTAGTTAAATAAAATAAAATTCTTTTGCTGGTTCAAGGTCACTGAGTGTGGTGCATAATGAATGGGAATCTTACTTTAGGATGGATGGTGATTGGACCATGTGATGTGATGATGGCTAAGGGGAGAAGGATTTGTAGTTTTGACTTTTGCAAGGAAGCCTGAAACTTTCAGATTCGGGATTCCACAGATGTGCCAGTTACTATCCAGATAAAGGAACCTTTGAGAGATGTCTGTCTCAGAGTTATTGGTTGGAGTGGAGGGTTGCTGGAACACTGACACTTTATTCAGCACAAAAGCAGTGGTGCTTACATAGGGTCAAAGGGGGAAAAAGGTTAAAATGAGGCAAGCAGCACTATGGCAATGCAGTACAATCTTTGCCCATTTTCTGTATGCATTGTAACATTACACATTCAAGGAGACTAGCATTGTAGCACAATGCTAAAATCTGCTTTTGTCATTCTGATAACAGCTGTTAAGCGCCTGCAAATCCCGCTGCCCAAAAGGAAATGGCTATACAGGTAGCAAATGGTGCCAGATATTGACACATGTAACACCGCTACTGCATGAGCTACATTGATTACCAGTATATTTCCGGGTACCATTCAAGTGCTAGTTGCCACCTTCGAAACCCTGCATGGCTTGCATCTATGATACCTGAAGGACCACCTTTTTCCAAAAGTCTGTACCCATCCAATCTTGGGGATTGGGCCTGGTGCAGATCAGCCAAACAATGTTGACTGGTAGGGACTAGAAGATAGATCTTTTTCTGCAGTAGCTTCTGCTCTGTGGAATATCCTCTCTTCAAAGATTAGAATAGCTCCAACTTTGTTAGCCTTTCATAAAACTCTAAACATCAGGCTGTTCCCGAGCCTACAGAGCTGACTGTGCTAAGGGTCCAATTTCCTGGCGTTATTGTTAACTGCCCATGTATTTCAGTAGCTGTATTTATTTTGGGTATTTTTAGAGTATTTTATTTAAAGTTTTAAAATGCCCCACCCAGCTAATGTTTTCACCTGTCAATTCTGATCAATTAAGCAATTAGTAAAATATTGGCAGCAGACCTTATTTGCCTCTGCCATCCACTTAACTGTAGTTCACATGCAACAGTCATATTTAATGAGATGGGTAACTAGGTACATACATTTGATAACCAACCAACCAAACAAAGTGAAAATGCTTAAGACACACTTTCGGATGAAGTCAAATGGTTTTTTTATATGAATATTTTCTCATCTTATTTCTGTCTTTCTGGTTTAGCTTATGAGGAAAAAAATGGTTTATATTTATGCATCTTTAGCCTTACATTCATTGTATACATCCTCTCTCACATTAGATCCTGCCATATATTGATGGATTTCGGCATGTTCAGAAAATATCAGCTGAAGCAGATGTGGAACTCAATTTGGTTCGAATTGCTGTCCAAAACCTTTTGTGAGTGCTAGGTGCACAAAAGAAAAAGTTACTGGAATTGATTACAGGAAAGGAAAAAGAGTGCTTTACATTACATTATTGTGACATGTTGTAACACAATGTAACATATAACATTCCAGCAGCCACTCTTAATATCCTCTTTACATTAGATTCTGGTTCTTTTTTGATGGCTGCAAAATTTTTCTTGTGTATTCGTCTAATACTGTTTTGACCAGGGTTAAAAAAAAACATACACTAAGGCTCTTTCTTTACCCTAATTCTGCAACTTTAATCATCTTCCTAATATTTCCATAGGTTACAGTATTTAACTAACAGCTTGTCTCCACGTACTGTAAATTGAAGAAGTGGAAATGTCATCTGACATTCATTAGTTAAGCAAGAAGCAAAAATGGCCAGAAATCATGGGTGGAGATATTTTGAGCAGCTGTAGCTTTCTGTCAGAATTTAACTTTTGTAAAGTAGAAATAGGATTTTTCTTTTGGGTTTTTTTTTTCTTGTGCAGTCTACTTTTTTCCCTTTTTTCTCCTCATTTTCTGTTCCCTTCTCTTTTCAACATCTTCTGTTGGAATGAGGGAGGGAAGTACATGCATTGTATATTTCTGTGTGGAAAACATTTGTGTATAAATGAGAATGGTTTGTATAAATGGAAATTTATACAAATTTATTTAATTTTAATAATAATATATTTTACAAGCAATTAATTTAATTTAGTTAGAGATTATTGCTTTGATTAATATTGAGCCAGTTTGGTGGTAGTTAAGGTACCAGGAGACTGCATTCTAGTCTCAGCTAAGGAACAAAGACAGCTAGATGGCCTTTTGGCCAGTCATTCTCTCTCAGCCCTAAAAGAAAGTAACAGCAATCCACTTCTGAAATCTTGCCAGGAAAAGGGAAGGAATTTGTCCAGGAAGTCATCAGGAGTCAACATGGATTCAAAAGCACACAGTTTTATTAAGATCTCCCTAACCAGTCCTTTTTTTGAAGATTAATATCTAGAAAGTGTGATGCATACATGTATGCGATCATGGAAAAATCTGGTTTCTGCTAGAATTATTTATTTAACTACTTGATCCAATTTCTGTCCCGCTACAATCCACCTCAGTGGACTTGACAATTCTGGGTTAACAGTATTTGAATATGTTTTATTTTCTATCAATCCAGTTGGAAGAGGGGAGGAACATATTAATTCAAGGGGTTCCCTTCAATTAATATCACATACCCAATATCCTGTGATACTAGTTTTCCTATAATTTATTACTTTAATGGATTTATCTTTTTCTTACAATATACATATAGTTTTCTATGTTTTGTTACTTTCTCATTGTTTTTCTTTTTATTGTTAGATACTACAGTGTAGTCACTCTTGTTTCAATACTTCAGGTGAGTAGAATGTACATACAATATGATGAAATGAGATGATAAAATATCAAGTTGATATATTGGCATGATTATGCATGATCAAATGGTGCTTTGTAAATGTGGGTTAAAGATGTATATTCCAGATTTTATTCTAGCATTCCAGATTTTAGGCTGCAGGTATGGCAGAAGTTCTGTGATCACAGTGTTATGTAGCCTAAAGGCAAAAATTCATTAATTATTACTTTAAATGAACATACTATACTATAATGCTACTTGATGTTGCTTGGTTATTTCATGTAGTGCTAATATTATTACATGCCACTATGAACTCTGTTGGAATGCTTTTGATAAGTAATTAATAGGAATTCCAGCATAGCTGAAATGCTGCAACTCTATCACTATTGACTGAAATCTCCTTTTTCTCTCCCACAGTATTCCAATGTCTACTGCACAACTCCTAAAGTTCAGGACTTAGTAGATGACAAATGCCTGCAAGATGAATGTCTCTCATATGTCACAAAACCAGGTAAAGAAGCATGGATGGCTGAAAGTGCAACCCTGTTTCTATCAGTTCAAACTACATCCTTGGGAGTTGAGCTGGACATAGTTTCAGAAAAGTGTGTATTTTCCACCTAATCCAGAGGGAACTAGTATAAAATTGGTCCTTCTCCTCATACTTACCAAGCATGTTGATATTCTTCCTGTTAAAATATTTAGGAGAGATTGCATAAAATCAAAGGTTATTAATATAAGCTATTTACTAAGCTATTGTAACATATATTTCCATGAAACAATCATTTCATGACAGAAGTAGCCATATGAATAATATATAGCAGATAAAATGAATTGGTTTGCTCTTGGCTGACTTTCAGTCCAAAATAAAAATCTTATAACAATTTAATTGCTGGCACCGTCACTGACCACAGCAGTTCTATAAACTATATTTGGCAGTATAGATTAATTTGCATCCAGTCTTGGAAAGTTATTTTTAGTCCTTATTTAGGACTAAATGCAATCCACATTGTAATATTGAATGCTGTTCTTACTTAATTTTTAGCTATTTTGATGGTAGACATCTTCAACAGCTTTCCCAATTTTGTTCTGTGACTATTTTCTATAGGACACAAGCGAGCCAGTTTGAGAGATGTTTTCCAGCTCTACTGTGGGCTGAGCCCTGGGACAACTGTTCGAGACCTTATTTGCCGCTATACCCTCCAACTCCAGAGAGTGGATGAAAGGTAGGAAAGCTTCCCCTCCCTTCAGAAAACCAATAATTCAGCTATATGCCACATAGAGCAACTAAAGGCTAAATGTGTGTGATTTCAATCTAATCACTGTTGTCTCATCTACAAGGCCAACACCTTTGCTTGAGATGTGTAAGAGAGCACATTTGTCAAACTACAATTTCTAGGGGTCTATCTAGACAGGTAGAAACAGCACAGGACCACTTCCTTAAAATGGATATATATTTTCAGACCAAATATATCCTTTTCTTTCTTGCAGCTGCCAGATCACATAATAATGAGCTAAATCAAAATATGAAGTTCCTTATTTTAATTTTTTTGCTATCCTATTCTTTTCAGTAAACCTGTGTGTAAGAAATGTCTGGTTATTTGATTAGTAGCAATACCATTACTTAGGCACATAAAATGACATTCTTGATGCATAAGACTTCTCTTTTAGTGTCAACTGGACAAAGCATTCGTTTGTTTTAGAAAACTTAGAAACTTGGGGGTATATGGAAAGAGAAATAATTGCCATGATCTATTTGTGTCAGGGCCCATCAAACATGTAACATGTACATCATATACTGTCTGCCAATTATGGCAGGTAGAAATTTGATAATTCTGTGCCTGTTGGTTGATCTTAAATGGTCCTTTGAGCAATTCCCTCTCCAAATAAATATTTCTACTCATTAAATATGGAAGAGACTCTTGTATTCTCACATCTCTTTTGATATTTATATTTTAAAAAATTCCATGCATGTCTGAAAGACTAATAATAGTCTGTGGTATAGTACAGAGAAAAAAAACAGTCCAAAAGAACAAGCTTCTGTACCAGCAATACATATAATACCATTCCTGCTGATCTCAAAATTGTTTTAAGCAGCTATCTAGATGGAAGAAGAAGCACTGCACAGTGTCTTAAGAGCCGTGGAGGCTCAGTGGTTAGAATGTAGTACTGAAGGCTAACTCCCTGCTCACTTGAGCAACTCAAGGGTTGACTCAGCCTTCCATCCTTCCAAGATATGAGAACCCAGATTGTTGAGGGCAATATGCTGACTCTCTAAACTGCTTAGAAAGGGCTGTAAAAGCACTATGAAGTAGTATATAAGACTAAGTGCTATTCCTATTAAATATTTCTGCATCTTTCTCTGAGCATATTCTTCTCTTGTTTAGAAAACTCATCCAGTTTGGTTTGATGAAGGGTCTTATTCGGCGACTCCAGAAATATCCTGTAAAAATAGCTCGGGATGAAAGAAGTCATCCAGCTCGACTGTACACTGGCTGCCATAGCTATGATGAGATATGTTGTAAAACAGGTAAGGAATCATATTCCCTGTATTCATCTACTCAACACATACAGTAACTTGTTAACATAATAATAAGATAACAAAACAGAAAATAATATTTTTAAAAGTAAATAAGAGTAACATTGTATCAAACAATTCTGAAGCCAGTTCAATCTTTAGATAACTTGGGAAATATAAATCAGCTTCCTTAGTTTGCCTAAGCAATGGAATTATACGAATGCTCTTTCATCATCATTATTATTTTTTTATTTCCCTATAGGAATGAGCTATCGGGAATTGGATGAAAGATTAGAGAATGATCCCAATATAATTGTCTGTTGGAAATGACACTCTTCAAGGACGATTAATATGCCCTGCTAACTTTTAATTGGGCTGCATGAGACATTGTGGTGTCCTCAGGACTCTTCTGGCTCATGAAAAGCAGCATGGCTTAAACTGTGGTAGTCCCTGAAAAAAATATGGCAAATGGATTTGACTCTTTGGTCAGCAGAGATGCAGAACCATGCTTCTTTTGGGGGGAAGGACTGTTAAAAGACACACACACAGGTGCATAAAGAAACTTCAGAAGGCTTCTGTGTTGAGCAAGGGATAAAATAATTTGAAAATAGTTTGGAAGGAACTGAAGTGGAAAATTGTCTAGCAGGGAATGCTGTACCATAAATCCTCCCCCTTAATCTGCTGCTCTTCAGCAGCAGAAAAAAATCTATTCTGTTTATTACTATCTCATTCTGGATTTTTCCCATAACTAATAACCTTGTTTTTTAACAAAAGGAATCTGGATGTATCATACCCACTTGAAATCCTTTAAGAGTTTGAAAAAAAAATCTGCAGATTATAAATCATGGATAATCATTCTAATAAAAAGCAAGCACAGTATTTTTAGGAAGTAAAATACTGAAGCAAAATTGTGGAAATAAAACTGCGGCATGGTTATATTTAATATAATTGGGCTGAACCTATTTATATACTTTTTAAAACTATTGGTTGTGAGTAAGAAGGATGGGCCTCTTCTATTTTATAAAGCTCATATAAACTAGAATATTTTTCTGTGGAAATTTAATGCAAATGCAGCAATTGAAAGGGAAACTAAAGATAGTAAAAATAAAATTGTGTGTAGAATCTCTAATTCATTATTTGATATCTTCCTCTTATAAATGGATTAAAGCTTTTCCATCTGAAGAACATTCAATGTAGGTGGGTGGAATTTTGATAAAATGTGAGTGCTATCACAAACTGACTACTTTAGTAAAAGTAGACAGTGCCAAATACAGGTAATCCTCATTTATCGACCACAATTGGGATCAACAGCTTGGTCACTGAGTGACTTGGTTGTAAAGTGAAATATCACATGACCATGCTAACTAATGACAGCAATTTCGGCTGCAGCCATGAAGCATGATGTCACATGACCAAGTGTGACTTCCTGTTGGCTTCTCCGTTGACTTTGCTTGTCAGGAACTGTCTGTGAAGGTCGTAAATGGTTGTCACATGATCGCAGGACTCTGCAATAGTTGTAAATGTGCACTAGTCGTCAAGCACCTGAATCTTAAATCACATCGACTTGTGAGGGGGGCTGCAGTGGCCAGAACTTTGGGGACCAGTTGCAATCTCTTTTTTTGGTGCCACTGGAACTTCAAATGGCTACTGAATGAGTGATAAGACTTGTATTAATTTGAAACCACACTGAGGATATTTCTCCCATAAGACCTCCCAGAAACAATTAAGCACATTACTTAGCTGTCTTTTTTATGTGGGTGGGTCATTTCCAAATACAGCACTGGACTGTATCTCCCCTGTCATTTTCATTTTCTAAGAATGTTCTGTATACATATATACAGCGGGAAATTTAAACAGACTAAGGAATAGGGGGGAAAAAACTCATCCCCCTTCAATCTTTCTGACTAATTTACACTCATTTGCTAACAAGATGGATGAAATTCATCTCTTAAATAAATGGAATTCTGAATTTTACAATTCAGTTCTTTGTTTAACTGAAACCTGGCTTAATCCACAAATTCATGGGGACAACACCATATACATCCCAGGATTTCAAACATTTAGATCAGACAGAATTGAAGAGACATCAGGTAAAACTAAGGGTGGAAGATTATGTTTATATATCAACAACAGCTGGTCTCAGGATATAACTATAATATATAATGTATATATTATGTGCATAATATATACATTATATAGCCTGATGATGGCAGATGAGATTCTGCCGAAACGTTGCTACAACTTTAAAAGCACAACTACAATGACATGGGAAAATACCCCAACAAAGCTGAATGCCATATATGTGCATAATATATGTATATAATGTATATAATATATAATGTATATAATATAATGTATATAACATATAATGTATATATTATGTGCATAATGTATATATGTACCCACTTCTTAAAAAAGCTATCCGCTGCCATAGCAGAACCTCTAAGCATAATCTTTGAAAAATCTTTCAGGACCAGCTCTTTGCCTAACCTAAGATCACAAGCCACGGTCATCCCCATCTTCAAAAAGGGAGACCCCAGCCTAGTTGAAAATTACAGACCAATCTTCTTATGCTGCATCACCTGTAAAGTCATGGAATCAATTATTAACCAATCCATTATCCTCTACTTAGAGACAAACAACCTACTCTCTAATAAACAATTTGGTTTCAGAAAAAAACTATCCTGTAATCTGCAACTCTTACACTGCAAAAACATATGGACTACACAACTTGATCAGGGCAAAACAATAGATGCAATCTACATAGACTTCTGTAAAGCCTTTGATTCAGTGGTACACAATAAACTACTAAAACTGAAATCTTATGGTATCTCTGGACACCTGCATAACTGGATAGAAGCATTCCTGTCAAACAGACAACAAATGGTCAAAATTGGGATTGTCCTATCAAATTCTGTACCTGTCAATAGTGGTGTCCCCCAAGGCAGTGTTCTAGGACCAACTTTCTTCATACTCTATATAAATGACCTCTGTGATCACATTAAGAGCAACAGCATTCTCTTCGCTGATGATGTAAAGCTGTTCAATACCACAGACAATACTGCTACCCTTCAAAAAGATCTTGACTTTGTATCAGAATGGTCAAACAAATGGCAACTTCAAATCTCAACAAATAAATGCTCTGTCTTATATATTGGCAAAAAAAAATCAGAAAATAAAATACAAGCTGAATAGTCAAGACCTTGTTGATGATCCAAGTTCTGTAAAGGACAATGGAATACTCGTCTCTAATGATCTAAGTGCTAGAGCCCACTGTAACAACATAGCCAAAAAGGCATTAAGAGTTGTTAACCTAATCCTACGTAGCTTTTTCTCTGGTAATATCACACTACTAACTGGAGCATACAAAACATTTACTAGACCAATATTCGAAAATAGCTCATCAGTCTGGAACCCACATTACATATCTGATATTAGCACAATTGAGAAAGTCCAGAAATATTTCACAAGAAGAGTTCTCCACTCCTCTACTCATTGTAGAATACCTTATGCCACCAGACTTGAAATTCTTGACCTAGAAAACCTTGAATTACGCCGTCTTCAGTCTGATCTAAGTATGGTATAAAAATTATACATTGCAATGACTTACCTGTCAATGAATACTTCAGCTTCAACCATAACAACACAAGAGCAAACAATAGATACAAACTCAAGGTTAATCACACCAAACTGATCGCAGGAAATACGACTTCAGCAACAGAGTGGTCAATGTCTGGAATACTCTACCTGACTCTGTGGTTTCTTCCCCAAACCCCAAAAACGTTAACCTTAGACTGTCTACTATTGACCTCACCCCTTTCCTAAGAGATCTGTAGGGGGCGTGCATAAGCGCACCAACTTGCCTACTGTCCCTGTCCTATTGTTTCTTTTATTTTTCTTATATGTACCCATTTCACATATTCATAACTATGTATATACTTATACCTATTATCCTGTAAGCAATTGAGAAAACAAAATAAATATAAGTTCTGTGATGAAAACTTAGTCTCTTTGCATATTAACTGCAAGCCATTTTATTCTCTATGTGAGTTCTCCTCATTTCTCCTAATAGCTGTATATGTTCCTCCACAAGCCTGTGTAAACAAGGCATTACTAACTCTTGTTGATCAAATTATGGAGGCTGAAGCCAAATACCCAGGTTCCCTTCCCATCATTTTAGGAGATTTCAATCAAGCAAATTTAAGGAAAGAGCTCCCAAAATATTTCCAGCATGTAAATTGTCCCACCAGAGGCAAAAATACTTTAGACCACTGCTACACAACAGTAAAAGATGATTATAGGTCTTTACCATGAGCAGCTGTGGGACATTCTGACTACTGCATGATTCACCTTGTACCTGCCTACAAAGACTTAAAACCCTGAACCAACAATTAAATCAGTGAAGACTTGGTAGGATGAGGCAAAGCTGAAACTCCAGGCTTGCCTTGATTGCACTAATTGGAATGTTTTTGAGGATGTCTCTGCAGACCTAGATGAGCTCACAGATACTGTAACATCATATGTCAGCTTCTGAGAAGACTTATGTGTACCAACAAGGAACCTGCAAATATATAGTAACAATAAACCTTGGTTCACAGCTAAACTTAAGCAGCTACATTGTTCCAAAGAGGAAGCCTACAGAAAAGGTGACAGAATGCTATACAACCAGGCCAGAAACATATCAACAAGAGAGATCAGAGCAGCAAAAAGAAGCTACTCTGAAAAGTTAAGGAATCAGTTCTCAACAATGAACCAGCAAATATGTGGAAAACTTAAAAACATCACTGGCTTCAGCAAACCTCCTTCCCAGGCAAGAAGGTAATCAACAGCAGATGACCTGAATGTGTTTTACTGCAGGTTTGAAAGGAAACTACAGCCACCTATCTCCACAACCCACATCTCAAACACACCAACAACAGCCAAGCCTCCTACAACCAGTTCATTGGGTTCACAACCTCTGGTGATCACAGAAAAAGAAGTGCAAGATCTATTACACAGACAAAAGCCAGGAAAAGCACCAGGGCCAGACAAGATAACTCCTTCTTGCTTAAAAGTCTGTGCTGACCAATTGGCCTCCATCTTCACCCGAATCTTCAATAGATCACTAGAGATGTGCTATGTTCCTTCCTGCTTCAAATGCTCTACTATCATCCCAGTGCCCAAGAAGCCCTCCATCAAGGAACTGAATGACTACAGACCAGTTGCTCTAACATCTGTAGTTATGAACATCTTTGAAAGGCTTGTGCTGTCCCACCTGAAAACCATCATGGATCCACTGTTAGATCCCACACAGTTTGCATACAACAAATAGATAACAGATGATGCTGTTAACATGGCTCTGCATTACATCCTACAACACCTTGAATTTCCAAATACCTACATAAGGGTCCTCCTTGTAGACTTCAGTTCAGCATTCAATACCATTATACATACACCATGACTGTATTACTGTAATTTTGTTGCTTGTATCCTTACAATTTATAATGACTGTTTCCTAGTATGATTAATTGCTTATTGTACCTATGACTATCATTAAGTGTCGTGCCTTATGATTCTTGACTCCTGACAAAGGTATCTTTTCTTTTATGTATACACCAAGACAAATTCCTTGTGTGTCCAATCACAAGGCCAATAAAGTATTCTATTCTACACATACATGAACATACATCTATATGGAAGCATTGCTGGAAATAAAAGTGTTACTGGAGCAAATGGTCTTTGCGGTATGCTAATTTCTCATTATTTTAAATTAAAAGTAAGGTATGTTATGTGCTATAACATGTGCTATGCTATTTGTGAATACAGTAGCAATATTTTACATTTGAAAAATATATACATTTTAGGTGACCTAAAGTCCTGTAACAGTTTTACGAACTTTTTACATTCTATTATAGCTGCATTCTATTAAATTGATCTTGATTGATTATGTGTCATCAATTTCACCTCTTAGTAGCCATATAGATTTATTGCCTGGGTGCATTTTAGCTACTAGAAATTACTGTTTTAAAAGTATATTTTCTGAATCTGTCATTTTTATTTTAGAGAGATGCTCCATAATCCTTGAGAGGGAAAGGGGAGTGAGTCTAGATAGTAGGTAAAATTGACATTTTTGGTTTTTTTTCTCTGCCAGCTTGATAAAACTCAGTGTGATGATTTATGTTTTGGAGGTAATGGTGTAATGGTGATTTATAAAGTAGGGGACAAAACCCCTACCGCCCACCATGAAAGTTGGAACGCACACTAGTGGACGGTAGGGACCAGGTTGACTACCACAGTTATAACTGGTCGATTGATTGATTTCCAAGTAACCCGCTTCTCCCAAATGTCTGTGTTGTGAATTTATGGGCTAGCACCTTGAGCGAACCCAGCCTATGAAATCCCTGGTGGTCGCGCTCGTAACTCCCCACGCCCAGCCAGCAGCAGAAAGCCGCCATGTTGAGGGGGCGCCGCTAGAGGGAGGATCACCTTGGGGAGCGCGCGCTCGTCACCACGGCAACGGCGTCCGGCCTTGAGCTTGTCGGCCAACGCCATGGAGGGTCTGTTGCCTGAGGTTTTGCTGCGGGGCGAAACCGAAAACTTCGTGGAGTCGCTCAGGAGTTTCCAGCTGCGGGATGTCGGAAGCCACGAGTACGGAGGAGGGGGCGGGTGGTGCGAGGGGGAGACAGAGGGCCCGCAGGAAGAATCAAGCCACGGCAGGTTTCGGCTTTGCAGGTTTCGGGGGTTGAATGTCAGCCGGGGCTACGGGCCACCTTTCCTTTCCTCGAGGAGCCCCCTGCTTATTCTTTTACAGAAATGGAAGAGAGATCCTTGCAAAAAATAAATAAACAAATCACTTGTTTCTGCCTGATAGCCGGCAGTTGCTATTTCAAAGCACCGCAAGTCGTGTTTTCCCATGTATTTGAGGGTATGGGATAAGGGAAAGAACCAGCATTAGGGAGCCTTGAAGATGGAAGGGAGGCCGGCAAGATATTCTGCTCGGAACTGCCCTAAAAGGAAGATCAAAGCATTGGGGCAAATCCATTTCTGTATCAATCCCATTGCTGCAATTGCAATAGTTGTGGACAATGAAAGAAGTGATAATGCTTATATTCTAATAGAATAGAAAATGGTAAGAAATACCATCAAAACCATCAATACCTAGGCTATTGTTGTGGTTCGATCCATTTCTTGAATTATTTACCGGACAGAAGTTAAACTGGATAGCCTGGACTGATAAACAAGAAAACTGATGATTATTCACTATGCGTTAATCCTTTTAATGCATGGGGGGCAGAGGTTTATTTCAAGTGAAACAACTGCCAAAAGAAGAAAAGCGTGCATTGGCTGCTTATGAAAAAGACAGCAGAGAACAAGTATTGATGCAGATTAAAAATCGGAACTTATTAAAAGTACAGGAAACAAAAAATGAACATTGAAATAATGTAGTAAAAGAGGAACAGTATGATGGCAACAAAAAACATTACATGGTCAATTTCTATAAAAGAGAGGAAAGTGGATAAAGATAAACCTAGCAATGGCTTACAACTGGAACATTTTAAAAAAACAACGAAGATTTGATTTTGGCTAAGCAAAAGCAAGCTATTTGAATTTATGCAGTCAAGGTCAGAATTGGGGAAAAATCATTCAAAGAGCATATAGATTACACAAGAAAATTATAAACAATGACTTATCACAATCAACAAGTTGATTCATTGAAATATCTCTAAAACTTCAACTTTTCCATTATTCCCATTATTGCTTATTCACAATTTTGTTTGCACTTATCTAAAAAGTGTGTTTCACTCCCATATCACATGAGCAGACTTTTATTTGATCTGATATCTTTTTCTAGTCTTCTCCTGCAGTAATTATTTCCCAAATCAGCTTTAGAAAGAGGTTTAGAGCAAAGGATTTACCTAGTAGAATAGAGAGGGCAATAGACTAATTCCATTACCAATGCCATTCCATTGACAGAGATATATCATTGAATGACTCTCAAACAAGGATTGTGTGTTTATTAGTGGGAAAATACCTTCCAAAGTGAATGAAGGGCAAATTCTGTTAGTTTTCCATTGGTAAAATACAGTCTCTGACTTTAGCAAGCCAAGGAGTTATCTTTGAGATTTTTCTCAAAATTGGATTACACTGGAACATATAAGTGATTTAAAAAAAAACATTGTCAGGGAAAAACCCTTCCAGATTTTAAGGTGAATTATGTAAGACTGTAAGTATTTGTAGGGAAGTATTGGAATACCAACCATAGACATTAACTGAATGCTTAACTGCTTTTAATGTAATTCCTAGGTGGCTACGGCAACAGGAAATGATTGAAAAACTGAACATGCAAGCCATACTGAGTGCTTCTGCTGGCCGTGAGCAGATCCTTATTGAGCTTCTGGTGAATAATGGCAAGGTATAATGAATTTAGCCACTTGGTCACAAGAAAATCGTTATATTATGACAAAGGCTACATTAACCTGAATAAATATGGACTTGATTTGGATCAAAATCTGTTTTATTTGTGTATTTGGCAATATTTATACTTAGAAATGCATAGCTTTATACAGTTACTTTCTGGATAAACTATTAATCTTACTGTAATCATATAAACATATATGCTGATAATACCTTTGCTCTAGTTATACAAATTAATTGGCAGGATAGAAACAATATGCTTTGTTTGTCTATGGAGATTCTCAGTCATCCAGGTCATGGTTGTCCCAAAGGTGCTTTTTCAAAATTCAGCTGGACTTTCTTTTTGTTTGAAGATGCTCTGCTTCTCATCCAAGAATCTTCCTCAGTTCTGATGAGAAGCGAAACATCTTTAAGGAAAAACAAAGTCCAGCTGCCTTTTCAAAAAGCACCTTTGGGACAATATATTTTGTTAGCACTTTGTCAGTTTCCTAACTCAACGACATCCCTTTGGTTAAATTATGAGGAAATAACTTATCTGGAATAAATTATTTTGACTGTATATCTAAACTATCACCCTACTGGAGAAAACATCATGATTAAGCAAACCTACAAAGGACATGCATAGAAGGAGAGCGTGAGCAAGATGTAGATATTTATTCCTTATGAAGCAAAATTTGTTCCCATTATTGTTACAAATAATATTTCTTGTCCTCAGAAGTAAAATAAGAAAGCTTTCTGCTTGGATTTAATTTATCTCTATGAATTTAGGCATCAGACAGAACATTCCCAAATCTGATATGTTACCTGTTATTTACGATCTCAATCTTGCAAACAGTATACTTAATTTTTCCATTCTGTATAGATCCCAACTCTCATTGAAGAATTAATTACTGCGGCCATTTGGAAGCAAAAGATCTTCCCTATAATATGCAAACTGGAGGATTTCAAACCAAAAAGCACCTTTCCCTTGTATTTAGTGGTATGTATAAAAAATGCTTTGAATCAGCCTTTGTAAAATATTTGCTATTAGAACATTTAAAAGCTTTCTGTAAGATCTACTTGCCAAATGATGCTTCCGATATTGTTAGAGTAATGTATATCTTATTTTTTGTAAGAGCTTGTGAAGGTCAAGGTATAGGGCAGTCTTAGTTGTGGAAGGTCATGTGACTTTCTGCCTGTCTTTTTTTCCCCTCAACCTATCATAGAAATTTTAATGTGAAAAATTAGAGGAAGGAGTTCAATATAACTCCTGTTGAGTTTCTCAAAGAAAGAAGAATGTGAACCTTACAAACAGTTCTTCATTATGTTCCAGATTTTTTTTAGTTAATTTATATAAAAGAGGTTGTCAAAACAGAAGTTGTGAGAAATTGAAGGAGAGCCCCTCTTCAGATAATAGAAAATCAGTTTACTCTTTGGATTTCAGTATATATGGTAGTACAGGTTGGCTTGTTTTATACAAAGTAGAAAACATTCAGTGCAGTCTGGATAGCATAAGCTCAGAACAAGGGAACAGTTCTGAATTCTTCCTCACACTTTGACAAATAAAAGGAAGGAGAAATAACTATTCACATTCTGTGCAACTATAGCTTGTTAGGTTATCTAATTCTTTTGCTGTTTTTAGTTTTATGCTTCCTGGTAGCATTTATCTCAAGAGGCCACACAAATGCAATATTTTAAATTTCTGATTCCATATTACCTTGTTTTCTGAGAATGGTAATATTTGTATTAATTTCTGATTTATCTCTGCTATCTCTCTTATTCAGCTGCGACATGAAGCTTCAATTATTAATTTCTTGGAGACAGTATTTTTTCACAAGGTAGGCAATAGTTTTACAATGTAACTAAAAGTTTGAAATAAAAATTTCAGTTCATAATTTAGACTATTTCCAGAAGAAACACAATTATCTGATTAACTTCTTAGTGCAGTAAGAATTAGAACTTCAATCTAAAGACAGCTACTGGTATAAACATATTTTCTTCTATTGCCTTAGTTATGTATATACTTTGCATTCCATCTTATTTTAAATAGTAATAGGTCCATCTTCTAGTACTTTTTTTTTTCAAATAGAATGACTTTGAAATGTCTATTTGTATCTTGAGATTTTGGGCTGGACAAATTCATATAATATTTCATATCATTTCATTCTGGAGACCCAATCTGACTATAAATAATCCTAATAAATAGGAGAACCAATTATACCTTTCATATTTTTAATTTGATGCTCCCCAAACAAGGGAAACAATGAGTATATACTTTCCTCCTTTGGAATCATCTGGTCTGAACGAATTTAATGTGCAAGCTACTGTAATTCCTCTCAGGTGCTTACTTATTTATTTGGAAACCATATTTCAAACTCAACAGCTTTGTTCATTTGCATCTAACCATGGCATAAACATACCATTGATATTGACATTTTTTCCTGCCTTTGCCTTCATCCCATCTGCAGCACAAAAGTGAGACAGGCATAAGATACTTTTAGCTATATTGCTATTAAAATAGTATTTCTTCCATCATTCTGATAGAGCAAAGGCAGCCCCAACATGTATAAAATATATCTGTTACCTTCAAGGAAAACTAGATGCCTTCAGAAACAGAGCCTTAGAGAAGAGGCAGGATTGGTAATGCGGACAGCAATGTTAATTTCACATTGACTCAAGAATGGAGGGAGAAAGTTCAGCTCATCTGTGAGAAAAAGCCCCATGCAAAAGAAATACTTCCACTTCCATAAAGAGTCAGGCACTACATTTAAGAACTGACTAACTCATCTCAACTCTTCCTTTCAGAATTACATTAGCATTTCAAATCATATAATTGACAAATCAAATGAATTTTACTTATTTTTATATCCCATAAAGAGAGTAAGCCAAAGATGAAAGAATAATGTTCTGCTTTTTGAACTAGCTTGAACCTTTTAGATAATGTTAATATTTCCAAGTAATTGACTGCTCTCCTTTTTGTTGAACTATCTAAATCCTATGATAATCTAGAAGGAAGGGACAAGATTCAGCTTGATGAATCTGTGGCCAGGTTTCTTGATATTTTCTGTACCGTTGTGATCAGCCCTGCAAATCTTTCTCAAATAATTGCTGTTAAACTTTCTGTATTAATGCAATTCCATTTTTCTTTCCTTTGGACGAATCCACAGTTCATTCCTTAGCAATACACAACCAGATGAGGTATTTTGCTTGCCTCTGGGAATACACAATTTTGCATGCCTGTCAGGTAGGAAGCTATTTTAGATGGAAAAGGAATCTATTGTACCATGTCATAAGATGCATAATTATAATTGACAAAGACTGCTTAACTGAGAAACATTTTTCCAGATAACCAATGAGTAAACTAATCTACCAGCTGTGATGAAATTAAAACAATTTAAGTGATCTTGACATTTGCCTTCATTTTGGAAGATGTTTCCATAAAATATAGCTTGTCTTCTTTGTATAGGAAATCTGTGAATCAGCAGAGGATACCATTCTGGATTTAATAGATTATACCCATAAGAAACTGACTCTGTTAGCAGCTCAAAGTGCCAATGGGAAGATACCGTTTGAACCAAAGTTCCAACTTGGGGATCTTGCCAAACTTTCATCAATGCAGGTGAGTAAAGGATATTATCTCTTACTCCTAGGCAGCCACTTTAGGTAAAGGGGAAAATATATCATAATTGAACACAGTTGCAAAATGTTGGGTAGCCATGAAAGAAAGTTTAAATCTAGTTTCTTCATTCTGTGGTGATATGTGAGTACACAGAAATATCACAATTAATTAATGTTCTTAAGAGAGAGTAATATGTCACTCTCTCTTCCATCAATTTAACAGTAAAATTATCTGCTCGTGTCTTGTCTTCCACCAATTGAAATTGGCTGGCCTCAAACTTCCTAGGGTCCTATTTCCTAATAGATCATGTATTTACACCCAATTGTTTATACAGTTTATCAACTTTTCTAACAATTATATTCTTTATGCATGGCATTTTTCTTGCTGTGATCTTCCCTCCCAAGATAGAGAACTCTTCTAGAGAAATCTTCTTTATGTTTGGGTCACACCCCAAATAAAGACATTATACAATGTCACTGTTCCATTTATTATATTTTCTTCCTCATTTTTTCTCAATTGTAAGTGTTGTATATCTGTTTACCACAAATAGCCAATCAACAGCACTAATACTTGTCCCGTCATACAATTTAGCAACACACTTGAGGGTCATCTCACTCCAGACTGCATGGTTCTTAAACACCTTAACAACACGTATTTTTTTCACAACTAAGAATATGCTTGGAGCCATCTAAACTCAAGATCAGACCATGTATTTCTTTAACTCTCATGAAAAGTACCGTCACCCTGTTATCATGCAACCTAGTGGGTATTTAGATTTTGGGAGTAAATTGATATGGAATAACAGTATTGGCATTAAAAGAGGTTTGCTAGGAAAACCTTTTCAGAATTCAGAGGCCACTGCCATGGCTGCCTTCCAAATTTCCAGCCATTACTTAAAATTTTATGAATTAGTAAAATTTTATGAATTAGTAAAATATCTGATTTGTATTATATATCTTTTACTCTTTTCAGGAACTAAAGAAGCAAGCTGAAATGATGGAGTTTGAGATCTCACTGAGAGCTCTTTCAGTGTTCCGTTTTATTACTGATGTGATAGAGAAGTATGCTAACTTTCCATAAAATAATAAGGCATTTTGGAAAGATAATCTTTCCAATAGAAGAGACCATATATGTTCTGTAGCTCAGGGCTGAACTATTGAGTCCTTGGAACTTTTCTGAGCTTGATTGTTTGCTTGTGGAAGTTTTTTTACATTACAAGCTAACATCATCACTGTTAGTGAGAGTGGGGTTTATTCCTTACTTACACATAGTAGTTTTTCCTGCCAATGTTAGTGGAGGGTGGTTTTCTCCTTGGTAGGTTGATTGTTTGTCTGGGGTTAATCCATGCTTATCTGAGTGTTTGCTGCTGGAAGGGATGTGTTCTGGTCTTTTTTTCCATTTTAACTTTTTGTTATGTTTTTTGAATAATATATAAATATGGTTTATTTGTATGTACCTATTGTCAGGGTATAACTGTATACTTCAGTTTGTAGAACAAAGGATATGCTATGATCAATCAAATTATCCTAACAGTTTTGAAATGGCTCCTAAAAATAAATATTTGACATTTAACATTTCCAAAATTAGGACATAATTGCTGCCTTGTTTGTTATTGTTTAATGTGACAAAGATCTAAATATGCATACCTTTACAGTGCCATAAAAACAAGTGTGAAAGTTTTAATAGCATTCTTATCAAAGTAAAGGTGACCTTTCAGGGGTCAATTACCTAGCAGTAGTAAGCCTTATATATAATCTGCATTGTTGAAAGTACTATTTGTGTGGTTATTCAGTGTAAAAATGTAGCTTTATATTTTGTCACGTGAATTCTTTTAATTGTTGAAACATTATGGAAGTATCCTAACATGAGTGTAATTGGGATTATAATTTTATTACATTATTGCACATTAATAAAGAGATTATCATACCTGAGGATGTAAACTGCTTCATTGCATAAAATAGACATGCTCATTTTTCTCTCATATACTTTTGTCAGTTTGCCAGTAAGTGCTGTAACAAGAGTGTTGAATACCCACAATTTTCCATGCCTTCTGGTGCAGCTATTAGAGCATTGTCCATGGACCAATCGTGAAGGAGGTCTGTATCATGTCTTAGAAATTATCTCTGTGTGTGCCAAAGTAATATAGTGAACATTTATTTCTATGTTCTTTTTTATTAGGAAAGAATGTATATATTTTAAAAATAATCTGACTTTTTCTAGTTGATACTTCTTTTTCCATTGGCTAAAAAATTATCATGGCACCTATCGATTAAATTCTTGGTTGTTGCTGAATATAGTTTAAGATTTTGAGATAAATTAGGAAATTCTTCCAAACCCCAAGACTTTTTAGTGCCATTTGTCCTCCATGTTTATCAGCACATATGATATTTCAGTATATATAACAAATGCCTTTGTGGGTTATTTGTTAAAATTGTGCCTCTCATTCAAAGCAGAAGTTTTGGAACATGCAGGAACACATACAATACAAAGCATCTTTTCAAATTTTTTAAAGCAGCCATGTCTTTTTATGGGGTGGATGTCTTCTTTGGAAACTGTTCCTCTCTAGGTATCACTGGACACAGGTGTTTGTATAACACACAAATGTAAACAGATAGAAGTTGCATAAGTCTTTGTCCAGTCTGCAGTGCTTCAGGGCAGGTAGGAATCCGCGACTGTGCGCGGATTCTGCCTGCGCTCGCTGTCGGAGTGCCCTGAGCCACCTGGCTTCAGGGCTAGCCACCTCCGTAGAAGGTGGCGAAGATAGGGGGGACCTGGCAGGGTTGAGAGATATCGCACCTCTCTTCTCTAGCTGGCTAAACACCCTTTTCTGAAGGCAGCTGAGTGGCAGTAAGAAATGGACGCCACATAGAAGCACTCAGCCGGAAAAAGAAAGTGCAGGAGGAGTCAACAAGAAGTGAAAGTTTTTTTGCTGACCTGGACAAAGCAACAATGAAAGTACCCTGGAACTTAAAATTTGCGAAAGACACATCATTTCCAGCGATTTGCAAGTGGCGAATGGAAGTTAAAAGGGAAAGTTTTTCTTTTTTTTCACTCTCCTTCCTAACGTGACAGCGAATGGAAATGCAAGAGAAATCGGAAAAATCCGCATTGACACTAATAGGTAATTAAATGCTAAAGGGATAAGGATTTCTGAATATTTAAAAAAAATCTTTTTTGCTGTAAGTGGGAAGGGAGAGGAAAAGAATTGGAGCAGGATTTGGAAGTAAGGAGGAGATTGCCTAGAATCTCAAAGAATTATTAAATACTAACAAGACTTCTAAAAGATACATTTTAACTGGAACTTTGTAACTAAACAGTAACCCCAGAAAGAGAAAGTGAAGAAAGAAGAAAGTGCTAAAAGAAACAGCTTATTTGGATTGTTTGGTGACTTTGGGACTTTTGGGAATTATTTTTGACTAAGAACACTTGGGTGGTTGTTTTGGAAAAACCTTTTCTTTCTACAATGGCATCACTTGTGGATGAACTGAAAATTGAATACAAAAAATACAAGGAAGAAGAACAAGAAGGGAAAGACTCTCTTGGCACTCTCCTTCAATTTTTAGAAATGGCGATTTGCACCTATGAGAAACTGACTGCTCAACAAGATGATTGGGACAAAGAAGAAGCCATCTTTGATGAACAAGTAACTTTATTTGGGGAAGAAAGGGAGAAAGAGGAAAAGAAAAAGGGGACTTTACTTGAAAAAACAACCAAAAAAGAGAAAAATAAGGTGAAAAGTGGATATAATGTTGGAAAACAACAGAAAGGGGGGAAGCAGAAGAAGAAAGGGAGGTGAAGAGACAAGGGGGTAAAAAGGGCAAGGAGAAGAACAAGGAAGGGATGAGAAACCTTAATTGTGGGGAGCAAGATGTAAAGAAACAAGATTCATTTAGAGATAATGGGTAAATTTAATTGAAAAAGGGATTCTGCAAAGGTACATAAGATTTTATTCTTATATTGGTACTTAGAAATATTGTTAGAAAATTGGAAACAATGTGATCAAAAATGGGATAAAATATTTAGTGTAACTTACTGAAATGTTTGTGAATAAAAAGAAGGCAATGAAATAAATGAGAGAATTGAAGTAGGAGGAAATGGGAACATTATAATGATACAATGATTTAAATACAATGATTTAAAAGAGGTGATGTGGGGGGGGGGAAATACCTATGGAAGGTATAAGTGTTCCCATAAAAGTATGATATTCAATTGAAAAGTGATGTGTAAGATGTTTAAGATATAAATGAATATTAATATTAATGATTAGATTTGTATTGGCATTGATAGTTGTTTTAATTATATTATATACTTATAATTTTTTTCTGTACTAAACAGAATCCCAATGGAAGTCATGCATTATATTAAGTATTATAAATTTAGGGGAAAGAGTCAAAGGCGTCACACTCCAATCAGTGTACAGGAGAAGTTTTGTTTAAAGAGAAATGAGAAATAGATAGCTGGAAACAGAATAGACAAAGAATAATAAATATTATGATCTGAACTGAGATGAGATAAATAAAATAAAATTAAGAGAGTTAAAAGAGGTGAGAAGCTATATAGAAAATGGAAAATGGTAATAAGATATGGAATGGTATATAAAATGAACATGAATTTGAATTTGTGTCTGTACGAAGAGTTGTAACCCGGGATCAAGCAGCTTTCAGAAAAGATGTTTTATGTTTTTATGTTTTATGTTTTGTTTGTTTGTGTATTGTCTTTGAAAATCAATACAATTTGTTTTTTTTAAAAAAAGTTGCATAAGTCTGAAAAAAAGGCATGGCTACTTTAATTATTCAAAAAGACAGGCTTCTGATGTAACTCACATGTCCTGAAAGGCTTCTTTCAAAAAATATGTTGTCCTATCATTTCCCATCATTTTTGGAAGGCTTTGCGGAACATCTATTTTCATTACTTTCTGAATTTTAGTCAATGGAATTTGTACATCATTTCATGTGCATTTCAGTAAATCTAATTAGTATTCTGCTTGTATATGGGTCTTCATGCAGGCATGTGACAGATTTATTCCCCTGGCCCCAGCTTTTTCTCTTTTTTAAAATGCCCCTATTGGGGGTTTTGCCTCAGGAATGTCGACCTGGAAAGATAAACAGAAGAATAAAGAACAAAAATAACAATCCCTTTAAACAAGTTGTGATGCCTACTGATGGGTTTCCCTTCCATACACAGACAGTCCTTGACTTACATCCACATTGGGACCACAATTTTGATTGCTAAGCAGTGCAGTTGTCATCATATGACTAGACCCAGTTTTATAATCATTATTATATGGCAGTTAAGCAAATCACTGCAGTCTTTATGCAAATCCGGATTCCCCAATTATCTGCTTGTTGGAAACAATCTGGGAAGATCACAAATCATGATCACATGACTACAAGACACTGCAACTATGGTATAGATTAGAGCTGGTAGCCAAGCACCTGAATTACAGTCATGTGACTGCAGGGGTGGTACAATGGTCATATCTTTGAGAACGAGTCATAAGTCGCCTTTTCCAAACCCATCGTTATTTTGAATTGTTCTTAAACAAACAGTTGTAAGTTAAGGATTTGCTATAAGTTGATACATTAGTCTGATGTTACAAGCAGAGAACCCCTTTTGTTTGACAAAGGTATATCCAAGAGAGAGATTAATGGCATCTCAAAATAAAATAAAATTTGTGAAAGGCATTGATTTTAATTGAACTCTAAGGTTCAAAAGCCTCAACAATTGAAAATAGCACCTATCCAAATGTGATCTCAGAGGTTAAACAGGGTCAGCACTGCCTAGCATTGTTTGCAGATGGAGGTCTACCTGAATTTCAGTGCTGTTGACTAGACAAAAAAAAACATCTACCCAAAAACCCAACAGCAACCTATGTAGGTACAATTGCCAAAACTATCTTAATGAAAGTTTATGTTTTCTAAAGTTTTATCAAGAAACTAATGTATTGTCGTTATATCTGAAAACTTTATTTCATTTCAGTGAAGAAGCCTTTTTTCAATTTATATCCTCTAGATGGGTTTTGACTCACTGACTGGGAATTCTAAGAATCATAGGCCAAGCACATCTGGAGGACGCTAGGCTAAAAAAAGATTACTGAGAAAATCCCATTATTATGCAGACACTAATTCTCCATTATGTGTCTTGTGCTGAAAATACATTTTCAACATATTCAGACCAATGCAGTTTTTAATATTTTATGCAATTGAAATGTATTACCAGCTCCCAATGGGATCCCCCAAGCTGACAGACAAAACCCATGTCTCCAAGGCTTTGCGGAAAATGTTATTTCTGGGAATGATGTTCCAAAGGGAGGGAGCCATCAAAGAGAAGACCCTTTTCTTCGATCCCATCAGATGTGTTTCCTTGATTGTTGGGATTTGTAACATGCCTTGCCTTCCTGCTCTGGTAGATGTTATTGAGGAGAGATGGTCCATCAAATAATCTGCCCCCTAGCCATGTAGACCTTTAAAGGAGATAACCAGCACTTTAAATTGCATCTAGAAGCAGGTGCGGTGAACAACCAGTGCAGCTCTGGCAAAAGAATCTTTGCACATGTGTAAAGATGACACATATGGACTTGTATAAAACTATGAGGACATATTTACAGTACCTTCTTCACCTTTCAAGAAATGATATAGTTAGAGATAGTCCTCATTTACTGACTGCAGTTGTGACTAACAACTCTGTAGCTAATTGACACTTTCATTAAGTGACACATCAAGTGACTAGCTGACTTATGAACTCAATTCTGCTGCAGTCATTCAAAGAATCACATGTGGTCATTAAGAATGACATCGTGTGACTGCAATGTGCAGCTTACTGCTGGTTTTTTCCATTGATTTTGCTTGTAGGAAGCTGGCTATGAAAGTTGCAAATGACAGTCACATGACCAATGATGATATGATGATTGTCATAAATGCACATTGTTTGCAAAGTGCCCAAATTGCCATAATGTGAATGTGGGACATTCTGACCTTATGCTCCTTACGAATCAGGTCACTTGATCATGGACATGCTGCAACTGTTGTAAATTTGAAGTTCAGTCATAAAAGTACTTATTCATTATTCTCATAAGCTTGAACAGTTTCTAAACAGTGCAATTGTAAACCAATGTTCTGCATGTATCAAACAATGTTCCATACTAAAAGTATTTTTTTCTTATATTTTTCCTTAGGAAAATTGAAGAAATTTGAGAATGGTTCATGGTATGAGGTTGCCCCTGAAGATCGTATGAAGATGACTAAATTGGATGGGCAAGTGTGGCTCGCTCTTTATAACCTGCTCCTCAGCCCAGAATGCCAACGCAAGTATGAATTCAATAACTTTAACAAAGGCCAGCTCCTCAAGGTACAGGATTGCAAAACTGGCAGACCTTTTATGTGTATTTCATGTTTTCCTCAGCATATTTAGACCTAATATAGTATTCTATTTTCAAACAATATAGCAGAGAACATGAAGGGGATTGTTTAATATTGCATCAGATGATGACTCTTCTCTCGATGGGTATGGAAAGATATACACACCCAGATATGCATACATATAATGAACAACATAAACTAGAATAACTATAGGGATGAAAGCCTTAACTAAATAAATAGGTCAAATTGTAATTCATTCTTAGATAATTAGTAACAAATAAATTTTAACTGTAAAACAGAATGTTAAAAGCTTTTAAACTTGGAATCCCTAGGCAATTTTATTTTAGCATGCCACAGAAATAGAAAATAAGTGGACTTCCGGTTTGAGCTTCTTCGGCAACAGACTGAAACCGTGTCTCTGCGTGGTTTCGATCCATGCTCGCCGCTGGAGCACCCCGAGCCAGCTGGTTTCAGGACTAGCCACCCCATAGAGGTGGTGAAGAAGGGGGAGACTGTCTGCTGGATTGAGGAGAGCCGCATTTCTCCTCCCCAGCTGGCCATTACTCCCTTTCCCAAAGGCGGTTGCAGCGTTGGTCAGAAATGGCCACCACAAAGAAGAACTCGACCGGAAAAGAATGTGCAGGAGGAAGATAAGAAGAGAAAGATTTGATTGACCGGGTCAAACAGCAAAAGCGACAAATAAGGTACCCTGGAATTGAAACTATTAAAAAAAAACAATAACATTGTTCCCTAAGAAGATTTTTAAGCTGCAAAGGAGAGAGAAAAGGGAAAAGATTTGGGTTTTTTTTCCTCCTTTTCCTATACTGACAGCTAAGAGACTTAAGCAAGAAATTGGAAAAAAATCCGCTTTGACATTAATAGGCATTTAATGCTGAAAATAAAAGGTCAAAGGGATAATAAAGATTTCTGGATAATTAAAAGCTTTTGAAAACAGGAAAGGAGAGAAAAAGAATAAAAGGGCAGGATCTGGAAGGGAGAAGACTGCCTGGAATTAAAAAGAACTTACAGCAAAATCTCAACAAGACTTCCAAAAGATACATCTTAACTGAAACATCACAACAAAATAGTAAAACCCCAGGAACAGAAAGTGGAAAAAGAAATAAGAAGAAACAGCTTGGGACTATTTGGATTACTTGGTGATCTCTGGATTTTTGGTTATTGTATTTGAATGACTAAAATCAATTGGGTGGTTGTTTAAAACTGTTTAAAATGGCTCCACTTTTAGAAGAACTGAAAACAGAACTTAAAAAGTACAAAGAAGATGCACAAGAAGGGAGAGGTTCTTTTGGCTTCTTATTTCAGTTCTTAGAAATGGAGATTTGGAACAATGAGAAACAACAAGAAATGCCTGCAGAACAAGAAGATTGCGACAACGAAGAAGTCATCTTTAATGAACAAGTAATCTTGGGGGGGGGAAGGAAAGGGGGGAAAGAGAATGGAAAGTTTAAGATTAGGAAAAACAACCCAAAAAAAGAATAGAGTGAGAAATAAGTATAAAATCAGAAAGCAACAGAAGAGGGAAATGCAGAAGAGAGAATTAGAAGTAGAGAGACAAGGTGGTAAAAAGGGGAGGGAGAAGATGAGAGGGAAGAAAGAAAGGAAAAGAAGTTATAAAGGGCAGAAACAAAATATAGAGAAACAGGACCTATTTAGAGATAATGGGTGAAAATCTAATGGAAAAAGGGATTCTGCAAAGGTACATAAGATAGTATTGTTATATTAGAAATAGAAATAATTTCAGAAAATATGAAACAATGTATGATTAAAATGTTTGATAAAATAGCTATTGTAACTCAGTGGAATGCTTGTCAATAAATAAATGTAACAAAATGAATATTTAATTATTTATAAAACGTGGAAAAAAAATCTTACTAATATTGTTTTCTTGATTTTAAAGCTGTTAGCTGCCCAAAGTTTTACAGAATCAAGCTGTCTTTAAGTTGTACAAAAACGTAAATGAACTTTAAAATGTAATAGATAAAACCGGGGGCCTAATGCCCAAATCAGTGGGCTGGACATTGTCAGAATGGTGGAAAAGTACATTTTGGGGGGGGTGTCTTCTTAGAGGCCCCAGTGTTGACATCAATATTGTCAGTCTAGTTCTTCTATGATTAATATAACATATAATTTATTGAAGTGACATAATTTGCAAAAATGGCAAAATTGTCTTTTTGATTAGGGAGAAGACAACAAATTCATTTATTAGTGATTGAAAACCCTTTATGGATTTTTTTGCTAAAAATAGAAAAAAATGAAATGGAGATTTGAGGCAGGGAAATAAGCCAGGTACAGGAGAGATTGCTTAAAATTTCCATACCATTTTTACAATCCAATTTTGTAATATAAACTATGCATGTCTCATTTAAAATGCTTTACAATATGTTTTAATTTTGTTTTGTCTGTGTTTAGCTTCGTGCCTTCCTGACCGATGTTCTTATTGATCAATTTCCCAATCTTTTGGAGATGCAGAAATACCTGAGCCATCTTGCTGTAACAGATCCTGCTCCACCCAAGAAGGACCTCATACTGGAGCAGGTAATGTACATCACTGCTTTTTTTGTCCTATTCTTATGTTCCATAATCCCAGAGAATATCATCTATGCATCTCTATATTCTGAATACTCTGATGACACACTAAAATACTGCATTACCTATTTGAGATTGCAATGGAAAACGATGTATAGAGTCTAGATATAGTAGCCATTTTACTTGCAAATATGTATTTTATTCTGTCATCAACAGAAGATGTATAACCAATGGAAAGCTTCTATTTCTCATGATTTTCCTAGTTTTGTGATATAAAATGTATAGTTTTTAATCTTCTCGTTATTTAAAACATATCGTGAAACTCTCTTGTTAAGTTCCTATGGGATAGTTTAATGAAGCAAATATTAGTTATTCCTCAGACAAGCTAAGTTTCTAATTGTAGACCTTATTAAACATGAATGACAGGACTTTAATTTAAACTACATTACAATTTCTTCTTTTTACAAATGGGACTATTCAACAAAATACTTCATTGTAAAATGCCTTTAGTGACTATGCCAGACAACCTATTTTAATATTTCCCTTCCTTTAGATTTGTATTCCACCCTCTTCCAGATAATATTTATTTAGCACACTGTGACTAATGAAGGTATTCTTTTTCATCTATATATAAGGCTCAGCCATCAAAAAATCAGCTCAGTATTAATATATAGGAAGATTATAGAACTTTATGCATTAATTGAATTCATTTGTGAACATAACAAATCGATGTTCTAAGAAATAAAGATGATAATCAGTTGCACATGAAATGCCCTCGAATTAGTGTATATACTGATCCCTCCCCAGGAAACCTCAGCAATAGATCTAAAAAAGATTTTTTTTTATCAGTTACCACATTTGTTATGGGAAATGAGAGTCAAATGTTGCGTCCCCTTTCTTATCTATGAAAAAAATGATAGGAAAACAGTATCCTATATCAATTCTCCAGGTGTAGTAACTGTTGTACAACCATCCAGAATAAAATCAGGTGTGTAGAAATTTTCAGATGTTATTTATTTACTAACTAGTTGGACACATACTTTGGTGTTTACCTCAAATTTGCAGAAAATGAGAGCAAACATTATTCCTTCCCTAATATCTTCTGCCCCCAAACTGGGAATGATTTTCTAGAACTTATGGCAAGGTGAAGTAGAAAAGAGGTTCCCCATATATTAATACCAGTCTATAAAAATGGGAATCCTATTTAATCTAGTTTTGTTCTTGCTTTTTTTTCTTTAGGGTAAATTTTCCCCAAGATAAAATCTCTAGTATAGTATTATATTTTTTTCTTCAAGTTAATGTTTATGATCTCTTAGTATTGTGATGAACATAATAATTTCAAAATATTTTGGATCTGGTTTTTGAAAGAAATAAGCCTTCAATTCTTTTATTGTTCTAACAGGTTCCCGAAATCTGGGATCAAGTTATCAGAAAAAACTCTGAAAAATGGCAAGCAATTGCCAAGCACCAAGTAAACAATATGTTTAGTCCTTCAGAAGAGGAACTGAAAAGCCAGGCTTATAGGTAAGACTCATTCATATTCACCTTCTTCCTTTGTTAAAGATTGTAATCATTACAATTATCATGATATGTAGAGTTAACCTGATAGTCCATACTTTGAAAAAAAAATAATTTTCCTAATTCAATCAAGTTTAGAAATCATTTGCTTAATGTCATATTCCAAAATCTTTGTCTTCAAAGAGTACTAAAGTCAATTTCACAGGTATCAATTCACTTTTAATGTTTTACTAAATGTGAAATCAATGTGAGAGTTCCATTTCTATTGTAGATACCACTGGATAATCGTTGCAGTTGTGTTTTATGAAGGCTGCTTTCTTTCTTAAATCAGATGGGCAAAGACATATAGCCTGGATGTAATGGAAGCCCTAATGCCAGATAAACCCAAGTGTGCAGTGTGTGGCTGTGAGGCCACAAAACGCTGTTCCCGTTGTAGGAATGAATGGTATTGCAAACGGTAAGTTTAATAGAACTCATTCTCATAATATCCTAAATCCTCCACTAATCATATGGTAACATAAGTATCTAGAAACAAAAATAATACCAATATTAAAAATATTGTAAACACTATAAGATTGAATGCTAATTTTCATTTTACAGACACTTATTTCATGGGAATCATTAGCTTGAGCTCTGTAAACAAACATGTATGTAGGCATATGTGTATAAATATTTTAATGCGTTAATGTTTTAATAAATTACATCTAATTCTTATGTCCCCAGTAAAAATAAAGCTATATTAGATTGGCTTTGTTTGTGAAAAAATATTACTCAGATGTACACTTTCTCCATAGTACCATTCATAATTAATGTTATCACTAATAATTAGGATCCTTAGAACATTTTCTGTTCAGTAGAACATGGAGTAGAGATTATCCAGAATTGGGTTATTCTTTCTGGTTTCTGTAAGACATTTACCCATGTTACTATTGAGCTTCCAATAAAGAAAACCATACCAGTTTCAATCCTGCCTCTATAGGTAATATGATTGAGATTTATTTTACTATATGACCAAATTTATTTTCTCTTTGGTTATATGTAACAGTAGGACATTAACTAAACAATGTCATTTAAGGGGCTTGAATGTTGCTCAGAAGTGATCTTGTATACATATTTTTACTTCCATTCATGTCTGCTTTAAAGGAATTGGAGCAACTAGAAATATTGCAATCTGCTCTTTCATCACTTCTCTAGATCAGTAGATAGTCTTGTGGATATTACCTTGTAATAGTAAGATTTGTTATGACAGTGTTTGGTTAAATTTCTCAGAAAGTTAGATGTCAGATATAGTTTTGCTTTAGCAAATTATTTCTCATTAGTTTCAGTTGGAATCTATTTTTCTTTGCAGTTGTCTCCAGTTCAGAATAAGATTGTGCAAAGCATTTGAATTAGCACCCCTCTTAAAAATTTTTGGAAAGGCTCACACAACTGCTTCAAATGTCTATGTTTGTTGGCACACACAACTACTTTACTCAAATGGCAATTTCAATGCAATTCCAATTGTCCATTCACACATGTGCAAACAACGGGGAAGGGGTTGCTTTTGAAGCAGCCACATAAGCCTTTCAGGAGAATGAACTTTAATATTGGTTTGGTATTTGGTGCCAGCAAAATAACCTCTCTCTAACATGCTTTGCAAAGTGTTCTTTTGAGTGCATGCATAGCCCGATTTTTCTGAATACTTTATCATTCAAATGTGTCTCCATCACCTTTTTCAAAAACATGGCAAGATAATATTATACTTGAGGGACAGAAGATTGAAATCATTAACAATCGTAATTGTGATATTTTGTGTTTGAACCATTTACTCCTTGTAAGAAAAGCATAATTCATATTTTATTATATGAGTGTGTGTGTGTGTGTTGTATCCTATTTAGTTATAGGTATATCTTCTATATAGGCTTAACATCCAAATCCCAGCTGTACCATTTATGAAATTTTTATGAATAAAAGAAGTACATCCTTTGACTCTCATGCAGATATTAACAGTAGTAAGGAAAATTCAGAATGTTATATCATCATTGTCATTACTATTTTTTTTCATCTTTGACTCATCTTTAGAGAGTGTCAAGTGCAGCACTGGCAAAAGCACAAGAAAGCTTGCAATTTGATTGCTGATACAGTGAAGAAAATACAGGAAGATGTACAGATGCAAGCAACATCCATTAAGTAACTCCGATTGTCATTTAACCCTAACCCTAGCCCTCATTTAACAAATATATAACATTCAGAATGACAGAGAGAAAAAAGGCCACAAGGTTAAAAATTAGTAAAATACACAGAAAGCTTTTTTTAAGCATTTGATTTAACAACTGTCAGCCAAATATATCTCAGAAAAAAACATGGTTCTTGAATTCTAGGAGATAAGTCTTATCTCTCTTGGGATATATGCATCCTAGATTTTAGATGAGCTATGTTGTAATGCTCAAGCATTAGTGTCAAGCTGTGGATTTCCTAGGAATTTGGAAAAGTTTGGTTATAAATGGAGGTTGTTTTTGTTTATTATTCAAGATTCTTTATCTTCTAAGGCCTATTTTGTAGTTTACACACCTTTCCCATGGTATATATACGTAACTAGTATTTCTACAGCAGTGAATAACATCATAAGTAATGAATCGACTTTGAAGACTTCTTAAAAACAGAAATAGCTTGCAACCATTTGAGAACAAAAGCCTATGTCTTAATTTTAAAAGGGCCTTTTTGGTCTAATGATAAAAGACACAGATCTCCTAAGCTGTTGGCATATCTGTTTCTGCACTGTTGGAGACTGTTAAAATCTGATTTTGTTGTATCATTTTTTTCATTAGAAGAATTTTAAGATACTACAGTAATTCAATTTCTACTTTCTGCTCTGTAAAATCACATTGATACATAAGTCTGATCTAAAGAATTTAGATATAGTTTTATGACAGTAATTTCACAATTACATTACAATTTCTAAATTAAGGACCTAATATTTTAGAAATATAGCAAATTCTTTGTCTTTATGAAACTAACTGGACTTGCGTGCATTATACATGATTTATAATCAGACATATTGTAGCCTAATAAGCATTTTTAAAGAAGAATATATATTGCTGGAAGGGATGAGTAGAACTAGAAAATGGGTAGGAATATTTAATTCCTGCCCTTCTCAAATCACCAGCCACTTATGCAGTGTTTCCTCCTGTACAACTTCCAATTTGTATTTGTAACAATTAGTTATTTGTATTGATGGGAAATTGATTATCCTTAACTGGTTCCAGTTATATCAATAGAACAATAAAGTACAATTAAAGTTCTCTGAACAAGCCTTGATATTTACAAATTATCAAAACTGGTTAACATGTTTGTGTTGTGGAAATGAGATAGGTCAAGAGGTAGCATTGTCAACTACACCACAATTTCTCAATTATACAAGTGTTTGATTGTATATTTTTTCCATGTCAGAAGAACTGGCTTTGAGAGAAGAAAAGGGGAAAGGATGTGGTAAATTAAGAATTTCGGTTTACTGAGCTGTATGGTTTCACAGTATATCACATGACATTTTCCATGCTAGTAAAAAAGCTGACTGTTATTTAGTACTTATTTTGTTAATAAAAGAACATTAATAATCTGCTATATATGAGTTTTAGTGCTACTGAATAACTAATAATCTCATGCAAAAATTGCAGAAGATGGAATAAATGAAAAAACCAGAGGGATATTTAGATATTAAATCTATTCTTAATATTTCTAAGATCTTTAACAAATTTTAAGTTATTTCTGAAAATCATAGCCCTCTGGTTTTTTTCATCTAGCCAAAGTTGTGATTTTGAGAAAGGCATTTCTTAATATGCATTTTGGAATAATATTTTTACTCTATACTCCATGTATTTTCAGTATGCTTGCTCTCTTCTCTGTCTCCATAATATAGTCCAAGATTTAATTGCCTTTGGAAAAAAAATTCTGAAATCTCAATGATTTTGAGGAAAGATGTCAGGAATTCCCTCAAAACAGCTATACTATTTCTTCCTTAGTCCCTGCTACCCTGATTAAAAACAATGATTAAAAACATTCTGTCTCTATATGCTTAGTTTTTTACATTACAAAGCTGAGATACCAATTGTTCAATAATGAATCAAATCAAGGTCTTCAAATGATATAATCTCTGTAACAATTCTTGTTTTCGGTCAGGAAATATCCTTAAGTCATGTACATAATAACTCATTTTAAAAACATTTTCCTTCATTAATTTCCCTTTTATTTTTTCATAACATGTTCTGATTACATGCCTTATTCCAGGAAAGCTGGGAACAATAAAATCCCGGATGTATTGTCTTGTTAACAGGTTTTTAACTAATTGGCAATGGTAGATGAGCTGCTGGCCACAAGAAGGGAAAACATTTCAGCAGTTAAGTTTATGTTGAAAAATTGACTTTAGGGTGAACTTTAAAATGCTGCAATGTTCACAGCAGAGCTCTCCTTATTTCCTATTCCTGAAAAACTCCTCCCATGTAGAAAATACTGCAGCTTTAATATTAAATATAAGGAACTATGCAAGATTGGAGGACATGGAAATCCTCTCTGCATTTTGAGATTACATACAGCTGCAGATTTAAGTTTCCAGGCTGGACAAAGATCGATACTAATAGTATTTATTGCTTCTGAGACCTCTCTAAATTTAATATGCTTTTTCCCAGGAAACAGCAAAAATAGGACAATTTCTAGTTTTTTCCAATGATGTTTTTGGATTTGTTCAAATGGATTCTATTTCTCCTAAGAGTTCAAAATGCAGTGCCTGGAGCAAGCGAAAGGGCCTGCAACCCTCATTCTAGCTTCATTCTTTTTTCTCCTTTTGACTTGGAGATAATTTTAGAAAAAGAGTAAGCTCAGTAATATGAATCTATGGCAACCACCATCAACACTCTTAAGGATTTAGCCAAGATTTTCAATAAGACTTTTGCTATGAATGCTGACAAAAGCTGTATTTAGTAAGATCATGAGCGATTTCCTCTCTCTTTAAGCCACCCAAGCCAAATCATACTATAATTTACACCAGTGAGCAGGGCTAAACTATAGTACTTCAGACTAATGACAGATCCATTCTTTTCCCCAAGTTTGGGATTAAAATGGAAGGACTCACTTCTCTAGGCCTTCCAGACTTTTATGTTGGTGAAAAACAAGACATCTGGAGAAGAGCTTAAGGCATCTCACATACTTTAATATTGGGGATCTGCTTGCAGCTTCTGAGTTACCATCATTGGCACTCTTCATGACCATGAACTTGGTTCTTCCATGAGCCCATACTTATTACTCTGATCCAATTTGGAATGGGAATTTAAAATTACTACTTCTATCTCAGTTGTTGCAGTCATATAAGTACATTGCCAGTACATCATCATATGTAGGGGAAAGGGTGGTAAGACTCCTGCATTTTCAGTACAAAAAGAATAGACTTTCATATAGAAAAATGGAATGGTCTGTATTTTCCCTCAACAAGCAGATGCAAACGATGGAGTTTGACAGAAGAATGGGAAAGAAAAGATTTTTGAACTTTAATTCATCCCTACGAACATGGCCTAAAAAGTTCTTATATTTCTTTTCCTCCTGAAGGAGCCTGAAATTAGAAATCTTGTCTAAGGGTTGCATTGGAGAACTTTGGAGGTTGAAACTTTTTATTTGATGCCTTAATTTTTATCATGGCAAATGAGGGTTGAAAAACATTCTTTTATTATAATAATGCAACATAGCCTCCTAAAAATTGATGGTACGGTACAGAATCTATTTTATGGCATTTATCTAATTCTAAAACAGAAACTCTGTCATGCAGAAACGTCCTTGTTAGTCTTGTTTTGCATTGTTACAGCTGTGGCTGGTCTCAAAAAAGTCAGTGGAATCAGATCTGGTGAGGAAATCTTAGGACTGCAGCCTAAACTGAGAAATTGAGAAAACATCTCTGAAGAAGGCAATGGCAAACCATTGTTACCAAGAAAACTATACGGATGTTTTTATGAAGTCATTAAGATTTGAGCTGGATTCAAAGAAGAGTTTACCTTTAATGGAAAATGGGAAGGAAGTTAATAGGAAACCTTATTTATATACAGTATACAGCAGAGATTCTTTTGTAGAAGACTGAAGAGAGGCTGGAGAATATTACTTGCACAAAAGGAAAATACTTTTGAGCAATTATTTTAAGCAAAAACAAAGCTTTGTTTGCAGGCTGGAAGTGCTGATCTCTAGAAGTAGATGTTCTTGTGGCTTCTTACCTCAATAAGCAAGCAGCTAAACCACTGTCTTAAATACAGATTGCAAGTAATCCACCGAGATCCATTACTTTACACTTAAAAGTTGGAAGTATGATTTATAGGGTTTTCACCTACATACATAGCCAATTACTGGACCAACTTGACAATTCTGAAAGCTGTAGTTCAAAGTATCAGGAAGACCCCACTTTAGGAAAGACTGGTTGAGAGAACCTTTGCACCTGGAAGAAGCTGTGTGCATACAAAAAGCAATATCTCCACATAAAGCAAGAATGGTTGCTCCCTAGCTAGCAACTTGCAGTCTAAAGTGGAGGAAGGTGGCTCCTCTCATCTTAAGTCCAAATCAATAGTAGAGTTGGTTTTTAACAGTATATACTTGGTGATAGTAGGTGGGCACTTTGCCCATCCCTATTTGTCCCAGGGCCATACTGCTGGCTCCCTCGACCCCAGAGCTGACATCAGGCCCTACCCGTTGCAAGCCACGCTGTGGTTCCCAACTTCCACCCAGCAGCAGAACGCGGAGGGCGAGGCAAAGCCCAACTTAGCGACCAGCGGGAAAAGAGCAGGCAGGGTGGGGTGTGGGGTGGGGGATGGGGAGAGATTGCAGCTTTCAACTTTCTCTGCCAAAACTTTTTTCTCTTATTTCCAAGCCAGCCGCCCCTCCGCTAAAAACCGCGGCGCGGTTCTACACCGTGCTTTCTCCCCTTCGCGCATCTACCCCACCCTCCCGCCTCATCAAGGGGGAGTGTTTCCTCGCTGCGAGACTACCGCTCTCCTCGAACCTGCGTGGGACCGACTTCTTGTTCCGGAGGTGCCTTAAGGCGGGAAGTGAGGAGGGGGAGCGTCGGCCTCAAAGCTTCCGAAGCGAGGCACCGCCCGCGTCTCTCTCTCTCTCTCTCTCTCTCTCTCCTCCCCTCCATCCCATTGCTGGAAAGAGAGGGACCTGAATGAAAGGGGCGGCGGGCTGACCCGACCGCTTGCGCGCAAAAAAAAAAAAAGTCTCTGAGGAGCCCTTTTAAAGACGCAGCCCGAGTTCACACCAACCGTCGTCGCCGCCGCTGCCTTCTCCAGACTTTTCCGCGCAGGAGAAGGCCGTTGCCCTAAAGCCCAGAAAGCCACCCCGTTTGTTGCCGGGAAGAATGGGGTGAGAGAAGAGCAGGACAAGGCTCCGCTGACTGAGCCTCGGGCAAAGATCCAAGGCGATCTGGCTCGGACTGCTCCTTCCAAACGGAGGGAGGCAAGAGGAGAGCCGGGAGCGAAGAAACCGCACGAAAGGCAAGGATTCCGACGAGGTCTGAGGGGGAGGATGGGAACGCCAGCCGAGCCTTGATGAGGACTCCCATGCGGCTTCCCGAGCCCTTTCTTCCCTTCCGCCCTCAGCGCAGGAGGGCGCCATGAACGGTTCCAGGCACCAAGAGATGATCGAACTGCAGAACCTGGGGCTGGAGGAGCAGCTGGACCTGACGCGCGGCCCGCGAGGCACGGCCGAACGCCCCGTCCGCTTAGAGCGCGCCAACGCCTTGAGGATCTCTCCCGGAAAAGTGCCCGAGCTCTTGACCCGCGTTCGCCAGATCCGCCTTCTGGGCGGCCAGACCGATCCCAAATTGACCGAGGAGCTCGGCGAGGGGCACCTCTTCAGATCCTGCACTCAGAGTCAACCCACCTGGTGCGATCTGTGCGGGGAGTTCATCTGGGGCGTTTACAAAAAGCGCCTCCGTTGCATCTGTGAGTACCGGAGTTTAATTCCACACACACACACACACACACACACACCCGAGTCCCGCTCGCAGAAGTTTCGGGGAGTAACAGAAGGGCGGGGAAGGGGGTGTAGTGCCCAATGGTGGGTGCATAAAGTGGCCAAAGCTTTACAATTTGGGCTATGTTAAGACCCTTGCTCCTATTCCATGTAAAAACCATGTCAGGTTTATTACTGTTTTGGTTTGAACTTTTAGAACAACTGAATAGGGCAGGCACAGATTCAGAAGTGACAAAACTGATTAACTCTTAGGAAGGAAGGAAGGAAGACAGACAGACAGACAGACAGAAAGAAAGAAAGAAAGAAAGAAAGAAAGAAAGAAAGAAAGAAAGAAAGAAAGAAAGAAAGAAAGAAAGAAAGAA